TAAATTGGTGATTCATGGTACGCTCTCGCTATGACATATTCCAGTTTACCATCCAAATCTATATAATACTTTATCTATAGATATATCCACCTAGTTTATTTGCTATAAAAAATCTAGCACATGAAGTTTAAAGTGCATCTAGGCTCTAATTCAATTTCAGTAATCAATGACTAGCGATTAGAGATGACTAACACCTTTGCATATAACTCTTTGGGCCTACATGTCATGTCAGTGGCTAGATATTATGGAACTTGGTCCCTAAGCTTTCTAAAAATCTTGAATAGGTCCTTATCTTCAACCACAAATAAGAGGAGTGTAATAAGTGGCGCGCTCAGCCAAGAGCCAAGGCATGCCCAGGGGACCTCCGTGGTCCCTTCGGGTGCAGTAGGCACATCATAGAGTGGCTAGAGGACGACGGGCGACGAGCTCCTGAAAAGCCGTGGCCATGATGCTTATGGTGGTGGGTAGGCAGTGCTCGGGTGGTAGAACGGCAATAGCTCTAGCAACTACATGCATAGGGAATAGGGAAACCGTAAGCAGGCTAGGGATTTTCTCACTTAGAAGGGCTTTTCCCGCACTTAGTGATGGCGGGAGGTAGCAGTGGTGCTTCGGCAAGATATGAACAATGTTGGTAGGCGCGGCTATTCGGGAAGGGGAAAACGAGATCAGTGCAACATGGGGAAAAAGGTGATGCACATGGTTGAAAGGTGATCTCACCGAGGACGTTGCGATAGGCTCTTGTGCTTACCAGCACCAATGATGGCTCCTTTATTCCTGACAAGAGAGAGAGCCATGAGCTCCCTCAAGTTGGAATAGAATGGGGCGAGTTGAGGAAAAGGAGTGCAACAGGAAGGTTTATGCGAGGGTTGCAAGCTCATTTCATGGCATTACTCTAATATGGCGACCTCAAGCCGTGTGGTGATGGAACGGGATTGTCGGGGGTACCGTGGTATCAGGGAGGAGCCAGGAGGATTGATAGCTTGAAATCTTTGGTCAGCATTGAAAGATTTGGTCGGTTTGACTTAGTCGGCACAAGAGGGACCGTATACGTTCAACGATTAGCGAGAAAGAAATAGAGTAAATTCCCTGTGTACCCCTGAAAACTCACTCAATCCCTTTCATACTCCTAAAATTTACCCGATCCCTTCTGTACCCCTGAAATTTCAATTTGATCCCTTCCATGCCCCTACCGTTACATTTTCCATCATTTTACTGTTACGTTTGGTTGCAAATGTCTTTTTTGCCCTTGATGCTTTAGGTTTAAATATAAGCTTCAAAAATAATTGAAAATTTTGTTTGAGTGCACATCGTGTGCATTTTATAAAACTAATGAGACTAAATAATTAGTGCAGAAAATTTTGACATAAATTTTGAAAATAAAATAAATGTAAAAAAAATAAAATTTTTATTTGAAATTTTAATAGGACAATGGATTTTTTTATCAGGAGCATTCATAAAAAAAAATGTTGTGAACATTGGTATACCTATCTTTATATGAATGCTCCTCATTTTTATGACCTTTTTTTAAAAAAATTAATACGTATTTTTTTATTTCATTATCTAAAAATATTTTTTTGGGATAAATAATGCATCGCACAACAAACTCATAACTATAATAGTCTCATGCGAGAAGCTTTTATATTTTTAATAATGTAATTCATGAATTTCTTTGTTCATCCAAGGGTAAAATGGTCATTTTTATAGAAAATACACGGTCAACTAACGGTCAACTGACGGGAGGGGTATGCAAGGGATCAAAATCAAATTTTGGGGGTATATAAGGAAGTAAGCAAAATTCAGGGGTATAGAAGGGATTAGGAAAAATTTCAGGGGTATATAAGGGATTTTCTCAAAGAAATATGGTGAGAGATGAGTGTTCAAAGGCGAGTAAAAAAAATTCTACAACCACATTGCATAATAAAAAAAATCAAATAATAATTTCATATAACTAGACTAGAACAAAGCTTAAGAGGTGAAAGGAGTTTTATGCTATGATTTAGTAGTCGTTGAGACCTATGTTACTCAAAATTTTAGACTCAATCTACGGGGTTTTTTTTTTGCCCACGGGTTGGTGGGTACGGGCGTGTAAAGAACGGACCATACCCATGTACCTAACGGCTAAGAGTTTTCGCCCGTCAATAGACTCATGGGTATAAGAGTTAGAACATGATTAGCTCCTAATAGAGTAAAAATCCGTCGGGTGTCGGGTCACGGGTCCCCATTGACATCTTTACTTCCAAGTCATCATGCATGGAAAAAAAAAACCAAAAATAATTTAGCGCATATGAATTTATGTACATCATTTTGAAGTTTTCACTACTTCATTTTCTTCTTGGATGTTGCGTCGATGATGAACAAATTGAATGAAGTTAAATTTCTATTTCAATGGTAGAATTTAATAAGTTTCTAATCCATGTTAAGCTAATCTTATTGAAGTATAATATTTTCTATAAGGTCATCGGGCTATGTGATGTATTTTGCCAAAAGTCTTCACAGTTTATTTATGGGTGATTTAACTACAATAAGTGGGAAAAGATTATTTGTTTAGATCTTGGTTTAAAATTCTAATTTGACTGAGTTGCTGGGGCATCACAATAATGGTAAAGATTATAAAATGTTTTTGTGAAGTCTGTTTGTTTTACTTCGGATCGAGTTGTCTTAGCCCCAGGCCCCAGCATGCTTTGTACCTTTCCTCCATGTATGAAAAATAGTCATGAGTGTTAACATTTTTATGTATTGTTCGTATATTATAATAACATCTAAAATTTACTAAAATGTACTTAGTATTTATTTGTGATTAGGAAAATCAATTTTGCTTTGATAAAAGTATTTTTCCTTGCATTTCATTTGCATAAAATGTTGTTACGTGGGTGCATGGTTTGGGATTAAAGACGTTTGATTTATTATATTTGCGTATGCTATGTTTTGATTTTCATTTATATGTAAAATAAACTATTAAAATGAGTTTTAACATTTTAAGGCAGCTAAATGCGTCCCCTCCCCGGTCCAGTCCCCGGCATTCTCAGCGGTGACGAGGGAAAGGGTACCCATCTTAGGATTTATTCCAATTACATCCTCCTATTATCAATCTAGGATATTTCTCCCATGGTGTTTCTTGAATCAGGTTTGGTTAAATTCTTTTGCTCTTTTTACATCTCTTGTTGGAGGTTATTTCGTTTGCAAGATTCCCAGTTCGCCAATGAAGCAATCAATGGCACCACCTTTAAGGTTAGGGTCACCGATTTGCTGATTTATCAAAGGAGTGAAGATAGTGGCCTGTGTTCCTTGATTTCTTTGTGTGCATGTTGGAGTTGGTTAGAGTTGTCTCACTATCCATTGTTAATAAGAGATTAAGCAGCAAACAAGAGACTAAAATGTGGTAAATTTCCAGTAGCATGGAAGGAATTTATCCGTTCACTAATGAATGATTACCGCGTCTAAGAGCATAGGGGTTTGACGCCGAACAAAGCTAGGCCTATATTTTTCAGTTAGGACAATCTATATATATTTTTAACTTTTCTGGCATGAACTTAATGTGTCTAATTGTACTTTGCCCCCAAAAGGCCTATGCCCAATACCTTGGATGTAAAGTGTTTTTTTTAGTCATTTACTCCCTCCATCTCAGAATATAGAGAGTTTTAACCCTTGACATGGCTATTAAGGAGAAGGGTAGAAAGACTTATTTGCCATCTTAGGATAGATGATGTGCATGTACTGACTATAATTAAAACAAGGAATAGTTAGGTAATATGGGTAGCTTAGTAGAAAAAATACAACCTATTACTAATACTATTTTGCTATATTTGAGACAAATCTTGAATTCTATAAGTTGTTATATGCTACATTTGAGATAACTTTTGAATTTTATATTTGAGATAACTTTTGAATTCTATATGAGGTTATATTTTAGTACGAAGGGAGTATGGGAAAATATGTAATGTAGTAGAAACCTAAAAACTACAGTTGGATTCAAAAAATAGCACCCGAGTGTAAATTTTTTACTCTTAATGACGTGAAAAAATCTCATACATTTATTTTTTTTATTTTTAGATCAATGATAATTATAAGTTTCTATTACATATGTGCATTTTTAGGTGCAACGGTAGTTTGCTGGGGGAGAATTGCTGTTTTTTTTTTCCAGTACCCAAGTTTACACTGCGCCAACAATACAAGGGAAATCTTTTCCCAGCATTTGGGTAAAGTTCTCTCTCCTACTTGGGAGCACCGGATTTTTTTTTCTCACCTATATAACTTTTTCTCAGAAGTTAACACATGACATGCTATGGAATTGCATAGTTTACTGCCCAAAACACTGTCCAGGCTACGACATTGTTCTGTTGTGCCGCAGCAGAAGCAACGAAAAATAGAACTGAAGCAGTACGTTCTAAGGACTAAGGACTTGTTTAGATGGGACTAAAACTTTTAAATCCATATTATATCGGATGTTTGGACACTAATTATAAATATTAAACGTAGACTATTAATAAAACCCATCCATAATCTTGGACTAATTCGCGAGACGAATCTATTGAGCCTAATTAATCCATGATTAACCTATGTGATGCTACAGTAAACATTCTCTAATTATAGATTAATTAGGCTTAAAAATTTTGTCTCGCAAATTAGCTTTCATTTATATAATTAGTTTTGTAAGTAGTCTATATTTAATACTCTAAATTAGTGTCTAAATACATGGACTAAAGTTAAGTCCCTATATTCAAACACCACCTAACAAACTATAATCCTGCAGGTCCTAGTTTAGGCCAAAGTTGGCAATGAACAACCAATTTGGAACTGAACAGCCCGCTTGAAGATTTACAACACACAGATCATTTGCTACTCCTAAAAGGAGCATAAACAAGTATCACAATTCTTTGTTAACCAAACAATCTTAAGGTGATCAACATTGTGAACATACAGTGTAACAAAAGCAAGCGTGGACGGTGACAATCACAAGCAACAGAATGAACAAAATAATGCGAGAAAGTAGCTCAATAGGATGACAATGAAAGTAACACCACGACAAAAAATTTCCAAGAGTGAAAGTAATATTGGTACATCAATTGTCCAGGGGTAGGCGCATAGGCCACCATGAGATGATCAAAAGTCCATATATGACAAGTGTAACAGCTGCCTCAAGGCAAACAAAAATCGAGGGAAATGAGGGGGAGAAGATACAAAAACACGACCATGTATACACTCCTCAATCAGTAAACATGCAGCTAAAATGTGAGATAGAGAATCCCTAGAATTTTAAGAGACTAAAAGAAAATGGGGGAGCTCTACCTTAGCACCACTTATCTCAACTGTGTGGGCGAGCAGACGAGGCCTGAAGCATCTGCACCAACCACGGCAAGCTCACATATGGTACAAAGCTGCCCTTCGATCGAAGGAACAAACCGGGATCCACAGTACGGGCAGGAAACATCCTTCTGGCCACGGTAGATTGGAACATATGTGGCGCCACAGACAACAAATGGATTTCTGTAGTCATAGTTCAGCTCAGAGCTATCCTTCTTGCCACTGCACTGCTGCTGCACCTGTCGAGCCCTCCTTGCCTGGGCCTCATTAGGGTTGTTCTCCAGAAGCATCCTTGCAAAGTGCTCTGCAGTAGCGAAGTTCTTTTGCTTGTAGCACAGACCCATAGCGCTTCCAAGCACAAGCCTCATATGAACTCTCTGAAGCTTGCAGTTAGTGAAATAAGCAGCCAATTCTTGTTGGCGGTTGACATCATCTCTCAACTCCTTCCTCTTAAGTTCCATCCTCAGGCCAAGAACATACTCCCTCACAATCTCGATCAACTCTTTCACTTCATCCACTTCCCTCCTCGAGTCTACCACGATAAGAGGGATGGTATGCAAGATGCTAAGGAACTGCCTCAGGGCTTCTGGGAACTTACCATCTGTGGTGGCCTTATAGGCAGCCTTGAGTCTGTCTTCCATTTGTGGGAAGGTGAAAACAAGTGCAGGAGGGCCTCTCACATTAGGACTTGCAGACTCGCTCCAACCTTTCTCAACAGCAACTGGTATGATGGGGGCAGTTGCAAGTGCATGAAGATATGAGTGGCTGCCCATGTGCAGATCAAGAAACAGGGGCTTGAGGGGAGCAAAGTTTTTTATGCCCAACTGGCGACTAAGCAACCTCATTGCAGTGTCAAAGTTCCCTGCTGCTGCATGCTCCCCAGCAAGAGAAGATTTCTGAGTCCAAATCAGGCTGACAGGCATGCCTGGTGGAGGAGCAACGAAGACCGCTGAGCGTGCATTGCCAGCATTTTTTGGGGTCTCTGCTTCAGGCAGAAGTTCCAGATCTTCTAGGTCCCAACCACCTTCCTCGCCATCCTCCTCATTTGCTTCACCCTCCTCAGCATCAAAACCGTCACCACCATTCGCCATCGCTTCGCTTGCATCAACAATATCCAGGCCCTCATCACCCCAGTCAGCACCAGCAGCTTCATCGTCTTCCTCAAGTTCAGCCTTCCCAGTAGCATCCAGTCCACCCTCAAAGATACCACGCATCACCCGAAGCAATGGCCAATCACCACTGGCTGTGAGAGGAGCAGGGGGGATCAAAAGAGAGCGAGCTTTTCCTTCAGGAAGAGAAGGAATATTTTCACCCAGCTCAGCGGCAAGCCTATCAGCAATTTCTGTGAGCCCATGGGTGGTAGCAGTAATATAGGCAAGAGGTAGCTGTCCAGCATTCTCTAGGATCTCAACTCTCTTCATAGCATCACCAAGATACAGAGCATTGTGGAATTGACCCATCAGGTTATTGTTCTGTCCAGCAATTTTGCACATGAACCCCACCTTGTCCATGTAACCAGTAATAAGATATAGGAAAGCAAGCCTCTCAAAATTCTTCGTACGTTGGTATGCATATTCCACAATACCAACATTTCCCTGCCTCAGGGCCTCAATTCCCAACCTGTACCAGTGATCCTTGTCATCAATCTCTTTTGCAGAAGCAACTGCGATTTGGATGTTACCACTCTCAAGAGCAAGGTTAAATCTTGTCTTCTCATCTTTCACAAAGTGGAGGGCAACTTCTGGAAAGCCTTTCTGTTGTAAATAAGAAATCACAGCTTGCCCACACAGCTGGGAATTCTTGATCATACTCATCACATGATCATACCGTTTGCGTAGAAGGGCCAGCTTGAAAATGTACTCAGATGCATCAACTGTGACCAGCTTGTTCTTACCATCACGATCTAGACAGAATATATTGTTCCCAATAACCCTTGTTATGTATATAGGAACATCGAGGGTTTTAATAATTCCACTATCTCCATTGGGAAGGCAATACTTGATATGATTCAGGGTAGTGTAAATAAACACACCATTCTCATCCCAGGCACCACTTTTCACACGAATGGTTTCGTGCAGTGTACAGCGATGGACGAGCTTCTTGTTTGCTATAACCACCGCATGCTTGCTCAGCAGTGCGACAGATTCCATATCACTCGACCAAACAACATATTTAACAGAAGGTGCCTGGAGCTCGCCAAGAATTAACCTTTGCTGCAGATCAAAGATGGTCACTCGGTCTTCGGCTTTGCACAGCAAGCTACCAGTCCCAGCATAATAAATTGCATCCGTGGCAATAGGAAGAGGGCTTTTCTTTACAATTTCGTTCTTAAGATTCCTCACCAAAACTTGATTGCTACTCTTCTCAAGGACTGCAAACCTGTTGCGTGCCACGAAAACAGCTGACCCACCAGCCCCCTTCTTTGCATCCTGCAAATAGTCAGCCCTGCCAGCAGAATCCTTGGGAACAATGTAGAGTTCGTATGAGCCTCCATCCACATCAGAGCAAATCAGGACAGCATTTTCAGTTGGACTGTAAGATAGTGTCTTGGGTGACTGGTTCAAGCTCACTGATCCAGGTCTTCTTATTGGAGCAAGCTGAACTTCCTTCTGTGTGGTGAATTCAAAAAAACGAAGAAAACGGTCCTTCACATAGAAAACAGTATCTCCACTCACAGAGAAAGCTGGACGTTCCCTCTCCAATTTAAACACAATCATACCACTGTCATGACCAGCGGCAAGAAGATTCATCTCAGGGTGAGCAGAAAGAATCCAGAAACGATCATGCTCCCGCCTGAACGTTTGAATACCGGTTCGCTTTGTGGCATCCCAGATGCGAATGCTTTTGTCCTCTGAGTTGGACACTATGATGTCTTGCTTTGCATGGAACATCACACAGGACACGTTATTCATGTGCCCCCGCAAAGTATCAACTTCCCAAGCCTTGGTGTCTGTCAAAAAACAGCACATTTAGATTGCATCACCTATTATCCCTTTAAATAATGCAATGGTGATAGTGGAAGTGAATGTTCCACACCCCACAAAGTTTGCAGCACATCTTTTTTACTTCCTTGAAGTTCTTTAGTTTGTTAATATCTTATTCTCATCTCTAAATCAAGTTTATCACAGAAAGGTCTACGGTGGTAAAACTGACACATATATATGTAGAGTAATGTAAAAATCATTAGTGCTACTTGTACCTAGAATAACAAAGATGAAGGGTGTGTTGAATGAAAAAGTCATAATTCATTTGTTTCAAACAATATTAGCACATGTACAATTCATCTTGCCTGTTGCAAGTAGCAATGCATGGTTATTTAGCTAGTTCAAATATTTTGATTGCTGGCATGCATATACTTTTTATTTTTTTTAAGTTTGAACAATATACAGAAAAGTAAAGTGCTATACAGCAACAATAACCACCTTTAGTCCTACTGGCACTAGTTTACTAACTGGAAACATCTCTTGCATTCTGCTTGTTTGCTGACAAGTTAGTTCAGATTAATGTAGACATGGGGGAAACGCTAATTAGTTCTTCTGTCAAAGAAAGACAAATCAAGGAACACAAAATAATTCATAATAAAAGCAGATGCATAATTCTGTAGCTCTGTTCTATGAAAAATGATGGATGCAAACAAAAATAATGAAGTTGTTTATCTAAGGAAAAAAAAGGATGTAGTAGCAGTATTACCATTCATTCTCCATATCTTCACTTGCCGATCATCTGCCCCAGAAACAATTAGTGGCAACGTGGGATGAAATGAAGCCCAGTTGACCCCACGATCATGCCCTTCCAACACATATTTTACAACCGCGTCAACACCTCCAAACAGATCTGTGTTCATCTGGGTGAGACGCAGGATGTCATCCGCAGGTGACACTGACTTCTTCCTCAAAGCACTAATATCCCAGACACGGACAGTCTGATCAAGAGATGCTGAAACAACCAGATCCTCCTTAGGGTGGAAAGATGCACACATGACATAATGGTTATGCCCAGTGAGCACAGCCACACATGTGCGTGACTGCCAGTTCCAGATCCGGATTGTCTGGTCATCACTGGCACTTACGATCCACGGGCACTCGTGGTGGAATTGCACCGTGCGAATGTAGTCAAGGTGGCCATGAAGCGTGAAGAGGCAACGGTGTGTCTTGTAATTCCATACCTTAATCTTGTAATCATCACCTGCAATGCATCACGGAAAACTTAGAAGAGTTCAGGAGTTGTTCGATCTTATTTTATGACAGTTCCAAATCATATGGGCCACTGTTATGCCAACAATACAGATGAAACTGGTGTGTGACTTAGTTTCAAGTTCCAACAATCCAAATGTTCCATGATTGCCAACCCCACCATTGCTATGGTATCAGAAATACAACCATGGAAGCTGCTACTCTTCAGTTAAAGCTATAGATCGACTCTCATGTTTGAAAAGATTGTAAAATCGATGGAGATCCTGCCATCCTGCTGGTCATAAACATGAACCAAATGGCCCCTGAAGGTTACAAACCAACAATCCACCGAACAGTTCAGCGTAAGCAGATATGATAAAGCTCGCAAGCACTAGATCCGACTAACCCAACCCACCAACCAGGATCCTTGACAACCAACCACCACTCCAAATCAAACGCGATCTAATCGGATCACAGAGACAACTAGAGGCCTCGAGACGTCCTCCGATCCAGGGCAGGATCCGAGCGAAACAAGCAACACGCCACGAAGCCCATGCCCGCCGCCCCGCGAGGGAGAGAGATCTAGCGGGTCTACTCACCTCCGGAGACGAAGAGCGGCTGCGTGGCGTGGAAGTGGACGCCGCGGACGGGGCCGTCGTGCTCGTCGAAGCGGTCGAGGAGGGTGCCCATGCGGTAGTCCCACATCTGGATCACCCCGCTGTGGAGGCTGGCCAGGATCCATGGCCGCCGCGGGTGGAAGCTCAGCCCCTTCACCCGGTTGCTCTTCGTCTCGAACTTGGTCAGCATCTTCGCTTGGCCCTCCCGCCCCTGATCGTCGTCTCCGGCGACGGCGGGCGCGGCGGCGGAGGCGAACCCCTAGCCCCGGAGGCGGAGACGAGCGGAGGAGAGGGGAGGCGCTGGATCTGGGGCGGGGTGGAGGGAGGAGAGAGAGAGAGAGGATGGCATGGTTGTGAGATTGCCACTTAAGCAGTCACTTCCGATCTTAGCCGTTCAAGGTGCAATCAACGGCGGATGCATTTCCCTGTTTTCCTAAACACCAGAACCGAGAGAACGGACAATATGCCACTCTATACGTGGGGATTCGATAAAATGCCACTCAATATGATGCACCGGATAAAATGTCACTCAGTATGTTGGTATCAGGTGAAATACCACTTTGAACCTATGTTGATTTATTTTTGGATGAAAAGAATGCTTGTTGTATCAATCAAATTGGCCAGACGCCCATTTTGATTTGATATCAGCGTAGTTGGCCCATTTTGATTTGATATTAGTGTAGTTGGCCCATTTTGATTTGATATTATTGTAGTTCAACCGGCTAAATTTCTTGTGGTAAAACCAACCCCCTAAGTTTAAGTCCTAGTCTTGACGTTAGTGCTTATAATTATGGCTAGTTATTATTTTCCAGTGATAGATAATGAACCCGCCAACAATGAAATGCTCGTGGTGACTTCGTCAATCTTACCGACCCAATCTTTCGGAGGTGCTCATAGAGGTAAGGTGAGTGCCGTGTGCACGTTATAAATGCTTGTGTTTGTACTGTGTTTCAAAAAAATATATGCCTTACCAAATTATTGATACCTTAAAAGTACTTTAGTTCCTATTAAAAAGCACTTTGGTTAGTGTTTGGTTTGCTATTAAAGTGTTCCAATAACACATGTCTATATTGCTTTTTTAAAAAAGTTAGTGCTCGTAGTGAACTTGCCACATCACCTACTCTCATTATAAATTTTACAAAATACCCTTTATTAAATGTATTAATATTAAGAAACAATCAAATCTAAATGAATATCTGTCAGGATTACGGATAAGACATATCTCGTATCCTACAATTAACCAAGTATATTAGATCGGTATACCTCATATCCCAAGATATGTTTCTATATGCGATAAGGACATATATAAAATATTATAGGAAATATCCTTATGAGCTGGAGACTACTAGAGTCCTACTCGGGAAGGACTAGGACTATTCTATATCGTGCAGGGTTCATTGTTTCCGAGTTCAACTTGGAGACTAAGGCAATCCACGGTATAAAAGGCATACCCCTGGAGGGGTTCTGGATTATCGAATCATAGCGCCAACACGCCGACCATAGTTTTCGAAGCCGAAGGACCCAAGCTGAAGCCGCCGGGAGATCTCATCGAACAATCTCGACTAGGGTCTCGTCGGTCTCAACGAGTTCGTATGTTCTCTCTGTATTCTGTGGTCTTCCATATCAATCCCATATAAACTGAATTAGGGTTATTATTTTACGAGGGGCCTTAACCAATATAATCATTGTATTTTGTCTATTTTAATGTCGTATCGTATAGATCATCGTACCAACATACCCTAATACCCTATTTATCTGGTCTACGGGTATCCCCCGTTGACAATATCCATATATAAAATCAAAATAAGGGGAATATTTCCTATAGAAAAGGAATGAGTAACACATTTCATGAAAAATTTATTTTAGAAAATATTGTAATGTATTTTCTTTTATCCGTAGCAAAACATATATATTCAATTAGTAGATAAAAACAAATTGGCAGTACTGAAATTTGCATGTGTTGACATTGCTAATATTTTGTCATGGTAGCAAACTAAATAAGCCCACCATCTTGCCAAAATTTTGTTTAAAGAGTGGCCACGTCTTAGGCAAGATAGTAAATATTAAACCATGGCATGATTGAATAGCTGCTTTTAAAAAGTTAGGAAAGTATAGTAGAAATTAAGCAAACACCCTATGCTTCTGTTGTGTCAATGATTTCTTAAGACAGATTTTTGATGGTACACCAAAGCTTCAGTGTAGAGGATTAGGATTAGTGACTTTAATTAGACATGTTGTTTTGCGTCGTGACGGAGGTTCAAACGTCCCAACGTCAAGAAAACTAACTTCCCAACTTTAGCAATTGATTGCATGCTGCTCTCTTTGAAGTTTGGACCATACATACATACATACATACATACATACATACATACATATATATATATATATATATATATATATATATATATATATATATAATAAGCTAAAATTGGAACGATGTGATGAAAAAGTTGAAAGTTTATGTGTAGAAAGTTTTGATGTGATGTAAAAGTTGGAAGTTTGAAGAAAAAAGTTGGGAACTAAACTAGGCCTTAGGTTTAAAAAAATTGCAAGTCAAGATTTAAAACTTTTAACTTAGTTTTAAAAACTTTCAAGTGAAGATTTTAAACCTTAACTCAAATTTAAAAACTTTTAACTAAAATTTTGAAAGCTTTTTGGATTTGAAACAAAATCAGATCAATATTTGAAAAATATCAACTCAGGTATGAAAACTTTTAAATCAAAATTAAAAACTTTCATCTTAAAATTCAGAACGTTCAAATAAAATTTGAAAACTTTCATACCAAAATTCAAAATATTCAACTCAAATTTAAAAAAACTATCAACTGAAATTGGAGATGAGAATATTTAATTTCTAAACTAAAAAAATAGTGAAAAAAGTCAAAAACCGCGTCTGGTCAATTAGCTTTGGAAAGAGTACGAATTACCCCCTCACCCACCCCGTACTATCGTGGTTGACCGAATTACCCCCTAAACTCAAAAACCAGATATCTCTCACCATGAACTTTTAATACCGGATAAGTTACCCCCCTCGATCCAATCCATTGTAAGCAAAGAAGTCATCTAAACTCGAATATTGGATTTCAAATCCCGTCTGGTTTTCGCGCCTCGATCAATGAAATCTCACTCTAATACTGAAACTTTCAGGCTCTCGAAACACTCACTTCATAGCACATAATATGCTATGGTCCTTCAACCCTTCACAACCAAGACTATCGACGACTCAACAAGAAAAGAAATTGACAACATTAAATATTTTTTACATAATAACAAATTTTATTGAAGTTAATCAATTACATAAAAACGATAACCATCAATACCCTTTTACAGTATCATATGTCATACACTACCCGAATTCCCGAAACCATGTTCAACGTTCCTTTCCATTCAGACAGATCCAGCAGGCTCAGCCTCCTCTCGGTTGCACAGCACAACACTAGGCATAAAATCTCATCATCTTCTTCTCGTTTTCCACACGCATGCTTTTCAAACTGCTAAACGGTGTTTTTTTTAAAAAAAGCTTCAATACGAAAGTTGCTTAAAAAATCATATTGATTCGTTTTTTAAAAAATTAACAAATACTTAATTAACCACACGCTAATGGACGGTTCGATGAACGCATCAGGTTGGGAAGCCAGGCTTCCGAACGCAGCCTAATCCAGCGGCGGAGTACTGCCCAGGAGAAGCGTTCTGAACACATGCCCCCTCCTGAAACGGCAGGAACATGGACGTGGGCACGTAACAGCCTGTGAATGCAGCCAAACACCGCTGAAAATTCCCAACAAACTTCGCCCGTTTCCAAAGGCTGCTACGACTTCACCATAAACAAAAGTCACCTACCCACAGCAAGAAGCACTCACTGATGACTAATCCCTGAGAGAACTTATCAGCTAAACACAATCAAGTAGTGTAATCAACAGCTGGAACAGATTTTGCCCAGCACTCCATCCATCCGTTCCGAAATAAACTACACTAAAATAAATAATGTGTTATTTATATGACAGTACCTTGTCGCAAAATAAAGATATTTCTCCACATATCTCCTCCTATCAACCAGTCACAACCATTTTCTTTCACCCATTTTTATCTTCTTAACCAATTACACCCTTCCTCTAATCATTCTTACATATTTTCTTAATATCTATATTAACCCTATAAATACTTATTTTTTGAAATAGAGAAAGTATAACAAATATTGATATATCCTTAGTTTAATTTATTTTAAAACGGAGATATATCTTAGTTTTTTTTTTTGCGTGACAGCCTGACAGGCAAGCGTGAGACAGACCCCGTGAATGTGTGATGCCCCCCGAGTGCCCAGGGACCCTACCTACCTCCACCTGCGACAGCTGCTGCTGCTGCGTGAAGGCACGCCCATGACGAACCTAGGACCTCGTCTTCAGTGTCGCCATCACCCGGCAGCACATGAGCACACAACAACTTTGATCATCATCATCACCATTGTTATGCATCTTATCCGGTGGAGATTGGAGAAACTGATTGAGATCCTCCTCGTTGTCGTCGTGGATGGAAGGAGGCCTTCTTTCTTTCTCCGCGTCAGCAGGCTGATCGCTCAGTTTCGGTCCAAAAGCAAAAGAGAGAGAGACATCGCATTCTCAGATTCTCCGCATCGTCTGTGGTACAGGAAATTTGCGTGGAAAAATTGGTCGCCGAGCAGGTGAGCGAGCGAGTGACCGCGATTTCGGTCGTGTTCTTGTCCGTAAGTCTGTCCGAATTTATCAGATTGATGCTGCAGATTGCGTTCAGGTCTTTCGACAGTCCAACTGTAACATCCGCGGTTCATCACACTGTAACTTCACACGCCAACAGCTCAGACATTTCTACCAGGAGACGAAACGAATAGATTGACAGCTCAAGACACGCTAAGCAACGATATTGGAACACTTCATCAACAAAACTCGGGTCACCTTTGGAAGCTAGTAACTGTACAGGATTTTCACCGGAACTAGTTCAATTCCCGTGAGAAAATCCTCCGAAAATCCTTATTCCATAGGAGGGATCAAGCTGAAGACGATGGGCATTGATCATCCTTATGGATCAAGCTGAAGACAATGAGCATTGACCATCATCAATTTTGCAGCAGGAACAACAGCAAACAACAGGGAAGCAGTGAGTCCTTTGCAGTTCTTGCTTGAAATCAACCACTACAATGTCAAAAGATCTAGGCAGAAGCTAAAATGATCAATGATCAATACAGTCATACACTGAAACAAGAAGCACAAACCCGGACAGTATCTCCCCCGAATCAAAACGATCAACTAAAAATTGCATTGCAATTTCTGGGCGTGCGTGACAACAGATACAGGATACACCACCGGGAAGCAAAGGCTGCTCCGGCGACAAAAGGGTAGCAGCAACACCACGAACTGAAAACACACCACCTCCGGCGGCAACCGGCAATCGCCGTCGTCGTCGCCGTCATCGTCATCGTCCAGCACCTACACACGCTCCTCCCTGAATTAGAACAACACGAACGGAGAAAGAACTCCACATGAAACAACAGCAGCAGCAGCAGGAAACTTGAGTGAAATGTTAGCGATTCCTCTTTCGGCCTTGGGCTTGGGCGTCGTCGTCTCACACGAAGCCGACCTCGGCGAACTGCGGGCGCGGCTTGGCCGTCGCGCCGGGGCGCGTCGGCGGCGGCGGCACCATCCCTTCCGGGAGAGGGTTCTTGCGCGGGCGCCCTCGCGGGCGTGGGATCTTGGGCGGCGCGTGCGGGTCCCGCGGCTTGGGCGGGCGGCCACGCCGGCGCGGCACGGCGGGGGCGGCGGCGGCGACGGAGCCGTCGACCGGCGCACCGACGGGGACGGGGACGGGTGCGGCGGCGGCGGGTACGGCCGGGTAGCCCGGGGGGCGCACCTTCGGGGGACGGCCGCGGCCTCGCTTGGGCGGAGGAGGCGGCGGTAAGTCGTCGGCCGAGTCATCATCGGCGAGGAACTCCTCCTCCTCCTCCTCCTCCTCCGCCACCGCCGCCGCCGCCGCCGGATCCGCCGGCGGCGGCGGCGGAGGAGTCGGGCGGAGCGCGTACTTCCCACCCGCGACGGCGACGAGCTCCCCGGCGGCTGACATCCGGGAGAGGTGCGCCGCGACGAGCGCGGGGTGCGACGGCGGGAGGAGGCCGCCGCCGCCGCGGGCCGCCTCGATGCGGCGCGCGATGGCGGCCTGGCTAGACCCGTTCTCCTCCGCCAGCGACGCGATCGCCTCCACGATCATCTGCAGCAAAGAGAAGGAGAAGACAACCCAAGAAACCCGGTCAATTCCGCCACAGATCTGGGCATCTGGCCAGGAACAGCTAGGGTTTAGAAAGAGAGCGTGCCTCGGGGTAGGAGGGGAGGACGAGGTCGGCGGCGCGGTGGCCAGTGGAAGTGGAGGTGGCCATGCCTGGCTGGCTGGCTGGCTGGCTCCCTCCCTCTCGTAGGGTTGGGGTGGCGGGGGCGAGGGGCGCTGTCTCCTTCCGGCGTTGGTGCTGCGCTGTGCGCGTGTGGGATTTGGGGCCGCCGCGACGCGGATCTGAGAGGAGAAGGGGGGTTGTGGTTGTGGTCTTGTGGATGTGGGGGGGAATGGAATGCAAGTACAGTTTAGACAAGGAATCTGTCGGGTGGTACCGGGCCGGACGACCGGTCGCGGCTGCACGCTCTACTCCTCCTGTGACTCCGGTCCGGTTTAGGGGGTGTTTGGGATAGGAACTTCTTTTTTTTTTAGAGAGAGAGAGAGAGAGTTTAGCCCCTCTCTCCCAAACAGCCCCTTAGTCTATTCGCAAGCTTAAATTCTACTCCCTATGTACTAAAAAAAACTCAATTTAAAAGAGAGAAAAAAACAGCTAATGAGAAGCTCCTTTGTCGTGCAGTCTTGTACCTAGCTTTGATCGCTTGTCTTATTTATTTTTTAAAAAAATTAAAAACATAAGTCATGCATAAAGTACTATTCATATTTTATTATCTTATAATAATAAAAATACTAATTATAAAAAGTTAGGTACGGAAACTTATGGTTGCATTTAAAATATGACGGATGTAGTAGTTGGTAATAATTTGGATAAGCTAGGAAACTCAGCTTCTTCTAGTTTCTAATTCATTTTATGAATTCTACAACTATAATTTCTTAAAATCTAAATAAGAACCTAAATTGTTTAAGAGAGCCTCTAGCAGCTGAGGATTTTAGAAGAAACTGCAGCTACGAAAACTTCTGCAAACATACCCTCTCAGTCCGGTCTTAGTCTCCGGTCTTACTCCGGTCTGATCGGGCTGGTTCGGCCGGCTCGGTTCAGTGAGCTGGTGATTAGTATACTAGTAGGATTAATATATACAGTGATAAGCATTGTTTGAGTGGTAAAGTGGTTTGGCTAATTGGCTCGTATGGTCGCATCTGGTTTGTGGTTTGTGAAAGTGTCAACTGGGCAAAGGATAGTCTCATCAGATGCTGGCGAGTTTGGCGGTCGTTTTCACGTGACTTGTGACGGTGGTGGTGTTGCGTGGTAGCAACAGCTGGTTGATCCTTTTTTTGTTACTAGTTTGGCTAATAGTGGATTTTATTTAATCTCTGGTTTCTTTATTAAAAAAACTTTTAAGCTCTGAAGGGGTCAATATCGTTTGAGTGCCTATTTACTTTGATCAGCGGAGGCTCATAATTTGCGGTAACTGGTGCTCTCTTTGTACAGCTTTAAATTCAAAAAAATTTTGAGTTAGATTTTCCTAAGAGCAAGTACTAGAAGCCTCTAAACACAAGCCCAATATATCATGTAAACTTAGATAATAACGTGGAGGAGAGAAAAAGAATAGAGAGATGACTAGAGTATCCACTTCTTATGCAAGGAACAACCTCCATAGAAACTCTAAAAATAATAGAGAAAGAGATAAATTGATTGGTGAAAAATATATTGGGACTAGTGTCCTACAGGCAATATACTGTATATGTTAGTTTTTAAATTTAAGAGTATATAATATCGATAAATAAGAGCTGATCACTGCCTCTACTATAAAACTTGATCTAACTTAATAAATCCATAGATCTAGAACTATGATTACGTTGATAACATTTGAATAAAACATTCTGCTTTCATTTCAAATGAAATTTAAAATTTTAAATATCTATAACATGCAAACTTATTTTTTTCTGTGGATCTGAGATATGAATCTATACCAAACATGATATAGGTAGCCGAATGTCCATGATATTTACTATAACTAAAACCTTGAATGTTCATGCCAAGTGTAAGAACATCTTTAGACCTTTTCAACTCTGTTCATACCGTTTTATATATAGATACTCGCACACAATTTGCGTTTTTAATAGTATTTTACTCACATTAGGGATTAGGGATTTATGGTTAGTCTTTGTCTATTATGCAAAGAATGTGTTAGAGAACGCATATCCATGTTACATGTGCGTATTATTATAAAAAAAACTTTAGTCATTTCATTTTTTTTAAATCCCCGTTTGCTCTTTCCAAATAAATGCTTCTACTCATTTATTGGAAACAAATGCTAATTCTGTCACAAATTAGAATAACTCATTTTCCCGATGCAGTATAAAAATGATGCGCTTATTTACTGGGGTTATTTTCTTCATTTTTTTAAACAACTATGCGCATGTAAAAAGATAAAAAGAGATTTATTTAACGTGCAGTCCATTACTTCAGTGGGCCGCGTTCTGCGCGAGAAAAGGATTGGAAAAAGTACACCGAAGGTCCCTCAACTTGGCAATGGGATACAAAACATCCTTGAACCGTAAAACCAAATATGCTGGGTCCGTTAACTATACAAAACTAGTCATCAGAGGCCCTTCCGCGGTTTTTATCCGTGTTTTAGTCTACTTGACGGCTGAGTCAGCGTGGGACCTACGTGGACCCCACATATCAGCTGGGCACGTCATCACCCTCTCCCTTTCTCCTCTCTCTCTCTCTCTCACTCTTCTCTTATCTTCTGGCGACTGGGCAAGCCGGCCGGAGGCGACGGCGCAGGGCGGCCCAAGGGGCACCTCTTCAACCGGGCGCCGTCGCCGCACCAGAATGGCGGCCAGAGCAGGCGAAGCGGCGACGGTGGCGGGCGAGCACGGTTGCGGAGAGGCGGCGTCGGCGGGCGAGAGCGGTGCGGCATCGGCGGGCTGGAACGATGCGACGTCGGCAGGCGAGAGCGGTGGCGGCGGAGGGAGCGTGCCTGCTCATTGGCGACGTCACGGGCGCGCAGCTCCCGGATCTCGTCCTCCCACCTCTCCACCCTCTCCTCTCCTTGTGGATCCTGCACACGCCAAATTCACAAACAAACCAGATTGCATCGATTGATTATGCTGCTCGTCATCAAGCAACCAACCAAACCAATTATTTTATTAGCGGGTGTGTGTGTCCATGGCCATGGCTATGGATGGTGGTCTTACGAGCAGAGGCGATCCTCGAAGTCGGCGGCGAGGTTCTTGAACAGCTCATGCCCCGCCTCCAGCATCTCCGACACCTGCATTGGCATTGCAATCTCATCGATCGATGAAAAATTCAGAATGACAAATAGCGAAATCAATGAATGGAGAGAGGTGGACCTGGCGAGTGAAGGCGTCAATGGCGAGGAGGATGCGCTGCACGTGCTCCTCCGTCTCCGCCGACGCCGCCACCACCTCCTCCTCCTCGGCGACGGCCATGTCGTCCTCCGTCTCCGTCATGGGCCCGGTGGTGATGTTGACGGCGACCCCGGAGGAGGCCGCCACTCCCCCTCCCGCGCTCCCCTGGCTCAACCATCTCCTCCTCTCCCTGTCCTCCGTTGCCCTGCACGCATCCATCCATCCATCCATCCCAAAACTCAGATCAGATTGAGCCATCAAATTTTCGACCCAAATCAAAAATCAAATGCGCCTCAACAACTGAACTGATTGAGACAGTAGATGAAATGGAACAAGTCGATCGGAACGGAATCGCGTGGCCTTGGTTCGATCAAAGCAACGAACGCAGCTGACGACCGAATCCAATCCCCCAGAACGAACGCAGCTGCATGGACTCGCGGACCACGACCGCCGCCGCCTCTGCTCCATCGATTCCCGGGTGCACTCGCCGCCAACACCTCACCCGCCGCCAACCACGACCGCGCGGCCAGCCCAGCCCCGCGTGAGCGCCGCATCCACGACCGCCTGCCGCTGGTCTCCCGCGCGGTCCGCCGCCTGCGCCATCCTTTCCCCATGCCGGAGAGTGTGATCGGGGAGGACGAGCCCGCCACCGCGTTCACCCGCCGCCGCCGCCTCGCCCTTCCGCCACCCTCCCCTTCTCCCGTGCTGCATCGTCGGCCGTCGGAGAGAAGAGTGTGTGAGAGAGAGAAACAGCAGAAAAGGGAGAGGAGGGAAAAGATATACTGACATGTGGGACCCACGTGGGTCCCACGCTAACTCAGCCACCACGTAGGCCAAATCCGGGATCAAAACCGCCGAAGCACCTCTGGTTCTGTACAGTTAAGAGACCCTGTATATCTGGTTTTGCGGTTAAGATGTTTTTTTATCCCGTTGACAAGTTGAGGGACCTTCGGTGTACTTTTCCCAAAAGGATTCGGCGAGAAAAACAAGAGTTCGTAGGCCCATCAGCCCATCCCATGAGCCCACCTAGAAAAAAAAAACCCTAAAACACGCCTGCCGTTTTGATCGGCCCAAGCCACCATCGCCAGCCAACCACAGACTAGAGGAGAAGGAACACTTCGCCGGCGACGGCGGCGGCGGCGGCATGGCCTTCTGGCAGGCGCGGGACTTCCTCTTCTGCGGCGTGTGCGGCACCCTCCTCAAATTCGACTCCGTCCGCTCCGCCTCCTGCCCCCTCTGCGGCTTCAAGCGCAAGGCCAAAGGTCGTCGTCTTCCCCATCTCTCTCCCTGCAAAGCCCTGGGCTGTGTTCTTCTTGCGGCTGATGCCTTCGTTCTCTTTTTTTACGGCGCAGATATCGAAGGGAAGGAGACGCGGTACACGGTCACGGCTGAGGTGCGGCCGATTGCTCTACCCTCTAGCTCGCGCGAAACCCTGGGCTCGTCTGTTTCAGTCGCGACCGATTTTGTTTCCCCTCAAGTATCTAAAATCCATAATGCGATTCATTCAGTGTAGTAATCCTAGGAGATATAGTTTAGTTTGATTTACGCGAGGAGTATATATGGTTGTGCGGTGGAGCAATCCAGTCTTGTGGTTTAGGTAAAAGGACGGTTTCACTGTGTCGTGCTTCAGTATCGTATTTCATATAGAGGAATGGCTTGGTGATTATTGAATCTACATGGCAGTGCACTTTAGTAGATTTTTAGTTTTACAAATATCCATGCTGCCTTCCTTGGGATAATGCAATGCATCTCTTGGGAGCTACTCCCTCTGTTCCAAAATATAAGGATTTCTAGGTTGTTTAGCAAGTACTCTACTAAGATTAGGTCAAAAGATTTTTTTTTTCTTTATTCATTGCAGTTGTCAATTTTTGAACTTTGATTTTCTTAGATTCCCTTCTGAAGCATCTGATTGGCTCTGCGATCATTGAAGTGATGGGAATCAGTGCAGAAATGCTTATATTGTGGTACAACATTTGAATCCTAGAAATCCTTATATTTTGAAACGGAGGGAGTATTGGTCTGAGATTTTATTTTATGTGCTGAGATGACTCAAATGGCAATATCCTCATGCTTTCACATGCATGAATCAACTGTGGTAATGGAATAGTATGAGTTGTAGGCAAACATCTTATGGAGCAGCAAGGTAAGATGTATAGTGATTTTCTGGCTTGGCATTTGTAGGCTACTCTGAGTCTCTGATTAAGTCCTATGCTCCATACTTGTACACTTCTAGTACTTAACAAAGACATAGCACCTAAAAGGTGCCAAATGAACATTTTAATTTTATGGACCACAGGTCCTGCCTTTTTAATGAACTGTGCGGTTTCTTGAATCTTGTCCCAACCATTTATATCAGATATGAAAGAAGATTTCCATGGCTATTTATATGTAGTTGACATTTTGCATGCTGTTGACAGGATATTAGAAGAGAGCTAAAACTTGATCCATATGTGATTCTTGAAACAACACTGAAGGAGGAAGACGTAATTGTCGAAAGAGCTACAGTAAGTTAAGCTTTTTCATCAATATATAGTCTGATAGTATTTTGTAGTTCTGCACATATTCATAAATCCTTTTCTGCATTAGGTAAATAAAGAGTGTGAAAAATGCAAAAATCCTGAACTTCAGTATTACACCAAGCAGGTCAGCTATCGATCCTTGAACATTTGATGTTCAATAAGCTTAATTTTCCTTTTTCTAGCTTTGATGCTTAACTACTTTATGAAAAATGTGTAATTGCAGTTACGGTCAGCAGATGAGGGGCAAACTGTTTTCTATAAGTGCGCAAACTGCAGGCATGAGTTCAATGAGAACCAGTAGTCACCTTAGAATGAGCTTTTTGATCACTTCTACGATTGTGGTCTAAAAAATGGCCATGCTTTGACATGACAAGTGATTTTGAAATATTTTTTTTATGCCTTTGCTTGAATTATGACAAGTAATGGTGTGTTCGGGAGAAGGGTTTAGGAACCTCTTCCCCGTGCATGGAAAACGGGGTGGCTTATTAGTGCATTATTAATTAAGTACTTTAACGCATGGTTTAGCAGTTTGCCAAAAACATTGTATGTGCTTGGAAAACGAGGGAGAAGAAGTTGGTAAAGTGTAGTATAGAACATACCCTAAAGAATCACATTACTTTGGGCCACATGTCCAATCCTCAATCATGCTGTTTTTCGCGGGTGCTAATTGCACATAACCGAAGTGTTTCTGTTTTCTAAAGATTATTAACCTGAAACTGCATTTTGGACCTTACGGTGCTCATATGAGCTCTCTTACTTCCCTCAAATCCTTTATGCCCTCAACCTATGCCATTTCAACCTGTTCCATAAATCATACATGTTCAGCTTCTAGGAGATATGGCATTGTTTGCTAACTGCAAAAATGAAAAGGTGTATAAGAAAGGCTCGTATGGTTTGAGGGGTGTACTCTTGTCAGCACCAGGATTCCAAATTTTGCGATAAATGGGTGCGTATCAGTAGCGCTGTGACTCCCGGTAAGAGCTCATCTTGAGAGGTTTTCTGTTGTCGTTTCAAATCATTTTCTGTTGGGACTTTCAGGTTATGACCAAGTTATCAAATCCAGTGATTAGTTTTTTTAAGGAGAATTTTTTCTTAACTAGTTCGAGATGAAGCTGGGACAAATTCGCAGTCCCAATTCCTGGTCTAATGGTCTATATGAATTTCTGGCTATCTTGTTCTTGAGCTCGAGACTGCAGCTTGTTTGGTTCACGTTCTGGTTGCTCATGCCGTGCCGAGCACTCGTGCTACCTCCGTCCCAAAATAAGTGCAGCCATTGATATTCGTGCCCAATATTTGACCGTCCGTCTTATTTGAAAATTTTAAAAATATTTAGTCACAAAGTACTATTCATGTTTTATCATCTAATAGCAATAAAAATACTAATTATAAAAAAAATTTAAATAAGGCAAACGGTTAAACATTAAACGTGAATAGTATAAAATTGCACTTATTTTGGAACGGAGGGAGTAGTATTAGCTAAAGCTGATTGTGGTAAAGAGCCAAAGAGGTCAGATGAGCAGTCATGCTCATGCGTGATCAGAATTCAGAAGGATTTGAAATCCTTTGCTCAGTTTGTTCCCCTTTTCCCAACTCCTATTTCTCGTTTTCCGCGCGCACGCTTTTCAAACTGCTATTTTGGTGCGTTTTTTTTAAAAGTTTCTATATGAAAGTTGTTTAAAAAAAATCATATTATTCTATTTTTTTAAAAAAACTAATAACTAAATAATCACGTGCTAATTGATTGCTATGTTTTTCGCGCGGAGGAGTTTGGTTCCCAACCATCCGAAACGAACACAAGGTCCGCAAAATGAACACTTGTACACTAAAATTTTGGCGAGGCATACTCATTTCAGATTGCCGTAGGGATGCGAAATGCATCGCGAGACCCAGCATTTGTGTACGTGTATGAGAATCTCCTACGTGGATGGTCACTGTGAAAGGCCTTAGAGGCAAGGGGTTGTATGTCAGTTTTTTACTTGCAACGTTTAACCACTTGTTTTATTTAAATTCTTTTTGCAAATATAAAAAACGAAAAATTGTGCTTAAAGTACTTTAGATAATCAAGTAAGTCACAAATAAAATAATTAATAATTTCAAAAAAATTTAAATAAGACAAGTTGTCAAACGTTGCAAGCAAAAACTCAAAATCCCTTATATTATTATATGACAGAGGGAGTAGTAGCAAACCTACATTATACATATTACCTCATAATTTATTGGTTGTTAACAGGAATGAAATTAGACGTAATAGCCACCTCCACTGCAAAACTTAGGCATTCACCATTCTCTACGAGAAAAGAACTCAAGACCGCGCAGTCTCCCGAGTTCCCTCGATTGGTAAAGATACAGTGAATCCATTGACTAACCAAGCGAACCAAACAGAGCAGTATACTTGCCCCGAGAAAATTTGAGCACTGCTATTTAACCAGATTTATACCCAGTGAATGGTATTTTGAAGTGTTGATAGTTCCGAGTACAGGGATACCTCCGAGATGACAGGAACTTCATTCGGTCATTCCCAATCACATGCCACAATGAAAAATTGCTCAGACCATCTACATCTTCAAGGGTTCTATTTGCATACAGTAACCTTGACCAAATCTTGGTGGCACCCAAGGCCGATGAAGTGCGGTAAGAGAAGGGAAAAAAACAGCGCTCCTAGGTGACGCATTCCAACTTATGGTCAAGGATGTTTCATCGATGATGACACGGGAATTGTTCGAAAACAAGCAACATCAAAACTGTACTCGGCTCCGCGAAATGTAGGAACAACCTCAATAGGAACAAGCCCATGCCTCACACTTTCATCTGCAACATTTGTAGTTACTACTGGATTAAACCATGAAACAGCATCACAATATGACATTTGACTGCTCATAGAAGAACTGGAAATACTTACATGTACAAGATCTACACCACGCGAGCACCTTGTAAATTGTTTGGTTACTTCAAATGAATAAATTCCGATATAACACGAACTGCTACGTCTCAGATTTCGTTGGTGGATCATCCTTCAATCCTTTGGTGAGCAAATCGTAATTGATAGAGACAAGTTGTGATAGATTCTGCAGCAAAAGAAGTTAGAACGGTGTGCAGAATATAGGCACAAATGGGCTAACAATAAGTTTTCTACCCCTACTTTTAAGGATTGATACTGTCAATGAAACGTGACAATCACAAATTTAATGAGAATAAAAAAGAATATGTATTTGTTTTGTTGGACTGCTAGACACTAAGAACTTTGGTTTGTCTTTGTCGACACTTTGCCCAATTCCTTTTTTCCACTCATTGTCTCGCTGGCCCACATGTCAGTGAGCCATCAGTGATAAAATATTCAGTGGATTTTTAGATTATGTATCACAAGGATCTAGGTGCTATTTTATAATGAACATTGTACTATCGTTTACTGTGTGGAACAATTTTGCCACATTCAAGGGAATCATCAAACTACATTTTACAAAGCACGTGCTTGTGAAGTTGTGAGCATATAAGTTGACTGACGGATTACTAGTATGATTCATACCAATAGCATTAAATATCTAGCGAAGTTATTCCAATGGTTTGAGCTATATTACAGTACTGTGTCTAGCGAAGTAGAGATGTGACTACTATGATTTGAAGCATATTGTAACTGAAAAAGGTGTTATTACTGCTTGGTAATGCAAATACTGAGGACCTGTTCGTGAGTAAATACAAGGGAAATGTAAGGAGCTGTGGGTAAACTTTTCTGCCCGTAAGTGAAGGACATGCATTACACATTACACGTTCATTTTAAAAAAGGATCCATCATGGTTACTCATGCTTCAATCAATCACATTATGAACATGAAACAAAATAGGTGGACTGTGAAGCCGTAGGCTTACTTTGACTGAGAAATTGTAAAGAAAAAAAGGAATAGGTTATCCACCGTGATAACACCATCATGCTTCAATTATTTTAAGGATATAAATATGTGAAACTGTAGGATTACCTTGAATGAGAAATTGCTGAAAGAATAGTTGACATTTGAGCTAGATTCAAACTCAGTGAAGCCACTAGACTCATCCCCCTATTTGCACAATTTGCACAATTGTTTAGTAAAATGACTGAAGAATAAAAAGGCAGACAAACAAATTGTAGTTTTCTTTTCCTCTACTTATATAAATGCTGATGATTCATACCATATCATCTTGGTGATTGCTCACACAGCTACTGCTGCCACTAAGGCTTCCATTATCACTGGAATCCTCAAATTCGTATGCTTCATAGATGTTTTCGTCCGATGGATTCCAAGAATAACGGCTGGTGAAGTAGCTCGTGTCAAATGCACTATCTGAGGAGGGGACAAAGGCAGCCTGCATATGATTCCGTGTTATCCTCGGTACACCTTTACAATGGAGATGCAACTATGTTTAAAGAATAAATAGTTAACCATATCCCACCTTTTGCCTAGCAAGGGTATCCCAGCTAATGTCTTTAAAAAATTGATGCTGCTTAACCTGAAGGGAATAGGATTATAAGCATCAATCATTTATGTATCATAAGAAGTTTTGAATAATCCATACAACGGATGAAGGTTTCTAAAACCCTCAAAAGTCAAAATACCTCAGAGGCGCCATTTGCACCTAGCCGTTGGTGAGGGTCTTCTGTCAATAATCTGGGTAAAGCAGTCATAATATCACATTAGTTACATAAAAAACATAACCACAATAAACTTCACAAAGGATTTTGAAATTGAGCATGAAGTAGATAGGGAGTATTGTAATAATATGCTTAAATTGCATGCGTAAAGATTCCAAAAATACAAATCATATTGAATAGTTCTACCTTTGAGCAAACAGATGCTATAAACCATAGAACACAACTGAACACATATAATATAGCAGTGTGCTACTGTTACCCTATAAGCTGAAACTGGAAAAAAGATAGGGACTGACCTATGGCAATATAAAATATAGCGAGTACCAAGTTATCAAGCAAGAAAATGTAATATTTTAGAGCAGATGTGTCCCTGCCTAGTTTGACCCAAAATCCTAATTAACCCCAACATTCATTTGTGTTATTTGGAACCTGAATAATACAGCTAACAATCTGACGTACATTAATTCACAATGCTGATACGAGCAACTTTTGGGTGGTGATTTTACAGTACAAATGAGGGAGCTCACTTCAATTGTTATTGATGGTGATGATCATGGCAAAAACCCTATTGACTTTAGTATAGAAATTTCATGCTTGTCATTGGGATAACACAAAGGAAAATGCAGTATAAAGACAACAATTTATTATATAATTGGTCCATTGACCCTAAAAGTGACGTAAAAGCTGTGCAATCTAGCATAATCATCTATCACATTAAAACTTGGAAGCAAGAAATAGTAACATGCAATCCTGTAAGACTGAAACATGAGTTACTGTGTATTCAGAATACTCGAAACATTTCTTACTTGTCAATTAGATCCTGAGCTTCAGAACTCATCTCTTCTGGGACATGTGGCCAAGGTATTTTGCGGTTCAGAATGTTGTCGAAAATTGTCTACACCAAATACAACAAGAATGTCAAGTTGCCACAGTTTCAATACAGCAAAAAACAACATTGACTTATATAGCGACATTTTGCATTAAATAGATGAAAACCCATGTGTTTTCTAGCAGACCAAAACCCATGTATTTTCTAGAAGACCTCTTTCTCTCATATTCTCAAGAGATCTGAACGGGAGCTTTGCATGCTTAATGAAAGAACTTTACTCAACGTCACATAAATGGCAGAGAAATATTCAGTACATGAAAGTCTGATACCTGGGGGTGTTCTGCGTTGAATGGAGGTATTCCAACAATTAATTCAAAAAGTATAACACCCACAGACCACCAATCAGCACTAGTACCTGCAAGGACAATCAGTACTCAAGAGAGTCAAAACGAGAAGACAATGCAGAGGTTGAAAGAAAACTATGTCGGGCATTTTACCATGTCCTGTCCCCAAAAGGATTTCCGGTGCTAAATAATCAGGAGTTCCGACAGCAGAGCGCTTTTGTCTCCGTGCTCGGTGATCCATTTCCTCAAATTCGCTCATCTGAGGTTCATCATCTCCATACAACGAAGACCCGCTAACAGCAGGACCAGATAGATCATCCGTGCTGTTGATCAGACCAACCTTGGACAACCCAAAATCTGTCAACTGGAGAATTAAGATTGATAAGCAGGACATATAGAAGGCATTAAAAAGGAACATATTCGAAAAAGAACGAAAACAATATTTATTGCTGAATTACAGGTTAAATGAAATGAAAACTCAGAAGGAAATATGTGTAGCATTATCATCAATTCATTAAGATATGGATTCACTTAATTAGAAAAGAGCTAGCTGAAATCAGCATATATTTGATTTATGTGGAAACCAACATGTCATGACATGAAAGTTTTTATGCATTGCCTGATTGTCATGTGGGGACGTCACTACTCACTAAGTCCGGCGCCGGCGACGACAGCAAGATACGGAACAGTAGTTTGTTAGCATCCTTTTTCTTAGCTAAATTGGTTTGTTAGTTTAGCCCTATGATTTGTTATGATCTTATCTCTTAGATGGGTATATTAAGCTGTAAGGAAGTTGATTAATGCAAGCAGAATTTGAGATCAATCTCATTTCATTGTTCCTGCCTCAAGGGCGCGTCGCGGATCACGGCACCGCCGCGCCGTCGAGGTCCAGGGCCACGTCCGATCACCTCTTTCAAATACAATCTTCGCCGAGTTCCTCCTTCCAATTTGCTAACTCGTGACATTGATACAACACAGTTTGAAACCTCAAAAAGTTTCAAAACTCCAAAAACTGATTCTCCTCAGAACTCTCATAGGATATGTGTTTATTTTATCTCTCACTAGATGATGCCATTGTGGCAATTGCTATGAACTGCTACATCACTATCTCATTTGGTTGCTGGAACCAAAAATAGGAATATATCTTCTAGTCATCAGAGAACAGAAAAGCGCTTACCTTTGAGAGGCATGTGAATGATTTTTTAGTTTATCATGTACTCCCTCCTTCCAAAAGTCTAAGTCCTATTTCATTCTTTGGTTTTTCCAAAAGTCTAAGTCCTATTTGTAGTCATTATATGCTATATTAATTTTTTTATCGGAACCCAAGAAGTCATTTTAGTACTTTATAGGTTGCATGTTCATTGGTTTTGTCACATGATGAATGAGTTAACTACATATTGGTCTTGGTGCAAAAAGAAATAGGACTTAGACTTTTGGAAGGAGGGAGTATCTAACATTGAACATAAAACAAGAAAAATGGAGAGAAAACTTAACGATCATGCGCACACATAAATACCTTTATATGCCCGTCATGAGCTATCAATAAGTTGTCAGGTTTAAGATCTCTATGAACTATGTGCATAGAGTGCAAATATTCCAAAGCTAGCACCTGCAGAATAAAATGATTATCAGACAAAGGAAAAGTGAAAATGGAAGAAATAAATTGTTAGTAAAAGAAACTTACAACTTCTGCAAGGTATATACGAGCAACATCTTCATCCAAGCACCCTAAATTTCTCAGTAGAGAATACAGGTCCCCTCCATTCAGGTACTCCATGACTAGATACAAATTTTCCCGGGAGGTAAAAGAATAGAAGAAACGAACCTTAAAAGAACATAACCAATTCAGAACCACAGTATAGCTTTCAATGATGAAGGGTCGCATTTGCAAGTTCACTCACCACAAAAGGATTCCTCACTGTAATCAAGATATCACGTTCAGCCAATATACTCTCAACAGCATTTTTCCGAATCATATCTGCCTTCCTTAATACCTGTTTCAAAAGTAAGCAACTATTGTTAGACCACATGGATGCCCCATCCATCCCAAACCGAAAAACAAAAGCTAATAATAAAGGGAGTTTAGCAGTCAAGCCCCCAAACTATTGCTTTACATCTTAGAGCTATCATGCTGAGCAGAGGCAAGGTGTTGTGTGCTCAGCAAAACCAAAATTACTATACCAATTTATCATTACTTCCTTTTTTGTGAGGAGTCAATTCATCATTCATGTGAACTAAAGTCACTTCAATCTAAAACCTATGATGGTCAAGTTGTCACAAGTAAAGCATGAACATGATGGGCCGCTCCACTGTCATTCTGATCCCATTTTTATAAGTAAGCTATGACTATCAAGGAGACTAATGCAGGTAAAAATAACTACTTAGAGTCCAATATCATGTCCAGTCTACACCATAGTCTAGAAAACAAAAACTACCAAACCAAACAGGCAAACACACCATCAAAATTTTGCCACTACCAAAACTTTGGCATTGCCCATATATTTGTCTCTTGTTGGCACAAATTGGCACCAAACCAAACCTACCAACTCTACCCTACCAAAATGTGATAGTGCCAAAAGTTGCCAAAGATACGGCATTACCAAACTTTTGGTAGGGTATCGAACCAAAATGTGATAGTGCCAAAACAGCATAATGATTTAACGGGAGCAACTAAATGGATCCCATTGGAACCGACTCCATATTAGTTAACTTTTTAAAAGCAAACAGTCATATAATTTTAACATATCCTGTAATCACATAAGTTACTTATCTAACAAGACGCAGATTTGATTAAAAAACAAGGGATGCCTAACTAATGAAATCGAGTGCAGTTTCTTTCTCGAATGAATTTTAGAACAAGTGATATAATTCGTAACATTGACCACATGTACCAAATGAACCAGCGGAACAAGTGGTACAGCCAGGTTTTTGTAGTATGGATAGTGTACTACAGTACTATAAATATGAAGAGGTGTACTACAAATATGAAGATGTGTACTATAAACATCAAGGTGTTAATCTTTTTTGTGGTCAACTAGTCAAACTGGGAGCAAATTAAAAAAGCAAACGCGAGAAATACCATCTCTCTAATCTTCCTTCTCTGAACATTGAAGGTCCACAGGTATTTCCTTTCTTTTGCAAAAGTTTTCAATCCAATAATTTGACCATGTCATGTTGATCACAAGGGGTCCTTGATAATAAATAATGAATGACTTCCAGCTGGTGGTTCTCATAGAAATGTGTTGTTTAGAAAGGTATGCATAAATGTACGAAAAACCTCAAGGCCCTTTCTAAAGTATCATTGCAATAATATCACAATGGCAGGGGTTATCAACTGAACAAAACTACCGCCGAGTATCGACAAGAACAAATATTCTTGAGTGTGTTTTATTGAGTTTTGGGGAAGAAGACTGGCAAGTCAACATATTTACATCAAAAGCAATTTCCTTTCCCCTTTTTTGCATGCTAAAATTCTGGTTTGCGTCTGAAAGATAGTCATATAGCAATATTTTTGGTTTTTGGTCAAGAATGCCTACAACATTACAGGTACAACCAAGGAAAGCAAGTCTGGGTACATAAGGGAACAAATATATGGCAACAAATACCTTTATAGCAAAGAGGTCTCCTGTAGTTCTTTTCTTGGCCAAGAAAACACGTCCAAATGCTCCACGGCTGATAGGTTTAATGATTTCGAAGTCATCAATCGAAGTACGATCCTTGACTGGGTGAACAGGACTAGCTCGTAAGCTACGGACAACATCATCTTCTTCATCCATTACAGTACTCGCTGAATCAACTTTGTCCATATCAACCGAATCACAAAGCAGTAGGTACTTCTCCCTAAGAAATTATATAAATGTGAAGGGAAATTACAAATGGAAACTAATATAAGTGCTAAAAGTGACCTGCAAGAATTATTTTCATGTGCTTATTTAGTATAATGTCAACTAAGATAAGCCACTTGTGTAGTGAACTCAGCAGAGACTCACCGGTGGAGTTTTTCTATACGTGTGCCAAATGTCTGCACCGTGAGAGCCTCATGCTTCCTACGATTGACAATTTCTTGCAGATCTTCTATGCAGGTAACCAATAGGGAGAGTGCCCTTTCTTCATCTAGAGGAGTAGTTGCAATGCACCGCGCAATATCAGCAAGTTCAACAATCTGCACAGATTGAAGGACACTGTTAATCAGCACTTCTTGCATTATATTACATTACAAAATCATTTACTACTGGTAGATGATGCATAGTGATCCTAACCTAGATTATTATATGGTAAATACCACACTGAGGACCAGTGTGAAGGGGGGAGTCCGCTTGGAAAGGGAGGTAAACATGACAGGAGTGAACTTTTTAATCTTTCTTCTTGCTTAATTCTTAAAAGAAAACAAATCCCCTTGAGCTCCCAAAGGTGCAGCTAAGACATTGGAGATAGTAGATGCCATCTAATCAGCACCATCTCTAGGTATACTTGGTAACAAAGCAAACTAACCAACTAACAGCATCTCTAATGAAGGGCTTGATTGGTATAGCTTGCTGCAGCTGCAGCTGTAACTACAGTACCAATAACAGGTTTTGTGATGAAGCTGCTATAGTGCTGCGGCTGTGCAGCAGCAGCAAAGCTGAACCAATCCGGCCCGACATCTAACGTGTGGCAGTGGCAGCTAAGCCCACAATCATACATGGCACATTCGTTCCAGCCACCCAACCATCATATATACGCATGACACAGTGGTTGATTGGAAAAATAGTGGCATTATTACCATTCCTTTTCAACAAACGTATTCTGCACAAGAGAAACTAAATTTTCATAAACAAACAAAATATTTTACCATGGCCATAGCTTTGCTCACTTTGCACATTGTACCTTGTACAAAAATAAACACCGACTATTTTCTATAGTTTAGCCTAGCAAAATAATCAACTATCTAATATATGTATGTGTGATTGAGAGAGCTTACCTGAGGAAGATCATCGCTCTCATTAATTGCACTTCGGCCAGCTAAAAGCATGTCTATGTGATTAGATCTTGGAGTTGTTAGTGGAGATCTAGGGGTCATACTTCCTGCTGAAGATGTAGCCATTCCATGATCAGATTTTGGCCCAAAACGAGTCTTACATGTCATGGAAGGAAGGTTTTTTATGTCATCCAGTGAAATAGTGCTATCAGCCTCCTGGAGGTAGTCAAGCATATCAGCTGAGCCTCTTCTAGACCAATCAGAGAGTTTTGGAGAGGGGCCATCAGATTCTTCATTGATGCTTGAATTTGATACTTTTGCAACATCTGGACTGCCAACAGCATTTGGAAGGTCTTTTTGTGTATAAGATTCTACCAACTTTTCAAGTGCTTCAGCAACTCTAATTAGACGTTCATCAACGCTTACACCTTTTTGATCACATCTGTCAGCACTTGCACATATTGCTGAGTGATTTTCTACATAATGAGTAGGGACATATTCTTCACATATGCGACACATTATTGAACCTTCTTCAGAAATATTTGGCTGGTCAGACCAGTGACCCCATGAAGTTTTGTGTTGATGCTTGGGAGGAAGAGATTGATGTGATGTAGATTCCACTGGACTGTTCAATTCAGCCTGGCTACTAACTGCAGGGGGTGTATCTGTTTTCTTATTAGGTGATTCCTCTTTAATAGGGGTAGGGTCTTTAGGGGGTTTTGGGACAGGTGATGGAAAAGGTTTCCAGGAAGATATACGCTCCCTGGTTGGAGACTCAACCTCCTTTTTAACATCTGTTGTATCAAGCGGTGAAAGAAACTTAACAGGCTTTATCTCCTGGCTTCTCTTCCATTTTAAATTATGTTGCTCTTGACTGTACGATTTTCGTACATCACTTTTGCTGCCTCTGGTTGTAGTGTCATCACCTGGTTGAGCCAATATCTGCCTATCAGCAGATTGTATGATCTTATCACGTTGATCCATAACAACTTCATCCTCCGCAAAGCCACTCTCTTTGTGAAATTGAAGCAATCTTGTACATCTCGTAAGGATAAAAAGCATCCGAGTGTACAGTTTCTTCAGCACACCCATTGGGAGCTCCTGACGATGATCATCTAAATCTTGCACTATGCCTTCACATTGAAGCCAAAACTCCCCCGGTGTCATTACACAGCAGCTACGTGCAAGTATGAGCAAATCTTCCAAAGTTTCCTTCCACTCAGGATGAGAATCTGCGTACTTTTCCATTACACCAACCAAGTCTCCTGCAAATACTGCCAAATCTGAATTTACCTCCTCCTTTGCTTTCTCAAATCTCACCTGAATAACTTTTAACACCTCCTGTGTTGATGACAGAAAACAAGATTAATTTTGCTCCATAAATAGCAATATGAAGGTCATTAATCACTATCCACGAAGACCATGAATTGAGAATACCTTCAAGTTGTAAATGCCCCGAGGCTTCCAAAAAGGGAATGGTCGGACCCCCTTGGAGTTCAACTCATGCGAAAAACTTTTTATATCTGCAGGGACTCTCTTCCTTGGAGCACTGGTAGCCTGCATGATGGCCTTAAAGCGTGGAGATTCCGATTCCTTTGGTGTTTCACAGGGATCATATGCACACTGTGGATTAAGATGACAGTACAGATAGGAGGAGTAAGAAAAGAGCAAAAGATGGTTTTGTCATTGCTTGTTTAATTTAAAAATGTGAAATGGGCTTGTAGAAGCATCAGTACCACATTATCTGGTATGTGAGTTGGAGTCCTCAAATCTCCAGAATGGTTCCGCAATGCATTCGGTTTAACTGTGTATGAGATAGATTGGGCACACACATATCAGATTTTCAAGTTACAAAAAGACACACAGATTATACATTGTTAGCTATTGTTATATGGGATAAAGTAGAATGTGCTATGGACAAGGCTACAAAAAGAAATGCATTTTCATATGAGAGGAGCAGAAACTATTAAACACCGGAAGCACATATTATAGAATAAATTCAGCCAGTTGTAGCAACAATATGAATCTTTATAGTAAAACATTTCTCAGCAAACTACTACAGAGTTTGCTGCGGACTCCAAGAAGTTCGTTTTTTTTAAGAACTAGCAAATTAAACTGAAGGATATAGCTCCGATAGACATAAACAGGTATTTAAGTAAGTAATCTGCCACAAGTCAAATGAACACCTCACTCCAGTCATATATCCAATGAGCTGTGTATATAGAATTAGAAGCTGTGCGCACAATTACATTAACTTCAATCATGAAATCGCAGGAATAGCTTATGATCAACTGCTAAAAATAGCAACCAATTACTAGCTTTGAATTTAAATTGTCTACACCTTTTAATAACTAGGCGGGCATTCCTTACTTAAATGGTAAGAATCATTCTTACGTTAGCACCGGTGGTTCCAAGTTTAGCATCTAGACACCATGCGGCAAAATGAAAATCATGGGCGCCAATCTCCTTATAACTCAACACATCTAAGTTGAAATTATTATGTTTTTACTGTTTTTAACAACTACCGTCGACACGGTAAGCTCTGAAGGGAGCTTGAATTGAATTGCTTAATGCTGTTCTCCCCTTACTATCAATGCAAGAGCTTGGCAATGATAAGCTAATCCCCCTATCTTCCAAAAACCTGTAGCCGGCTTGCAGGATCATGATGCAAAAACCTGGAAAACAAGTTTAAAGGATGTTCAGCTTGCAGGATCAACAACCTTTTGCAGAGCTCTTTCCTTCCAGGCTCGTTGCTGTGGCGCCCCGCGCTGGATGTTCGGCCGCTTTCCCTTTCCCCCGGCTGCCACTGGTCGAATCTGCCCATGAGCTTCCAGCCTTCCTCCCGCCGCCGCCGCCGCCGCCAGCCGATGCAGCCGACGGGTCCGCCTGCGCCTGCCCACGCGATAGATTACTGCTCCCGAGCGCGGCAGCGATGCGGTGCCCCTCCTGCGGCAGGGGCCCGGATCTCGTCTTAATCCGGTTGAGGCCCAGCGAGGACGCCAGGATGGGCGACAGCGCCGCCGCCGACGCCCCGCCCGCGCCCCCATCCCGAAGCTGCGCCGCGGCGGCCTTCCTCCCGTCCGCCGACGGGCTCGACGAGGCCGACGCAGGCGCCGCCCCCGCGCCGCCCTTGGAGGCGGCGGACCCGGACGCGGAGCCGCCGAAGAGCTTGTCGCGCTTCCTGGGGGTCTCCGATTTGGGCTTCTTCTTGTCGGATCTGGACGACGACGACGACGACGCCGCCGCCGGCGACCCCGCCGCGGGCGGCGCGGAGGTGGGCGTCCGCGGGCTGTTGCTCCCGTCCGTGGGGCTCGACGACTCCGACGACTTGTGCCGGGACGAGAAGAACCTCCCCTTGAACACCATCTCCTCGCCGCCCGCCGGGGAGGCGTTCGGTCGAACAGGTGGTGGGGGCGGCCGAGCGAGCGAGACTGCGAGTCCACAAGGAGAGAGAGAGAGAGAGAGGGAGAGCGTGGTAGTGGGGACAAGGCCGCAGATGTAGAGAGAGGAGAGAGGAGAGGAGCCGAGGAGGAGGAGGACTCGGCCGGTCGGTCGGGGCGCGCGGCGCGTGCTCTCCCTCCTCATCCCCTTCCCTTGCGGCTCACGGCTCGGGCCTCTGGGTGGGACGGTACGAGAGAGAGACCGCGGCTTGACTGGGGCAGTAGTGGGTCAGCTACAGTGCTACTGGCTATGCTAATGCTACAGCAGCTCCACTGGGGTCAGCGAGGGAGTGTGGTGGCTTTGGTGGGCCGGAGGAGAGGGGGTTCGTTGCAGCGGGGAAATAAGTCCACTTTGACTCCCTTCGGCCTTGTTTGGTTTGGAGGGAGTTGAAGGGGACTGGAGAGGTTTGAGGAGAATTATTCCACATCACAATAGGTGTAGAATAAATGTTTTTGGCTTGGTTATCAGGTTGGGTAATGAAAGTTGTCTGTTGTAAAAAAAAAGCCGTGGAATAAATCACTTCCAATCTCTCACTCTTATGCATTAACCGAACATGGACTTAACTAGTGACCAAATCTGATTCGTATCCTTGAAACATAATACAGGATATCTCGACCCCCAACTATTAAAACAGGTGCAGTTTAACTCTCTCGGCAGTTTTGGAGGGCGTTTTCACTAACGTGGTAGTATTGACCTAGTCTGTGGCGTCGACATGGCGCTTTGGTTCTATTATAATTAAAAAAATATATATGTGGGATCCATTTGTCATTCAAAAAAAATAGGACCCACATATCATCCTCTCTCTCCTCTTTCCTCCTTCCTCTCTCTCCTCTTCGACCGTCTGCAAGGGGCAGGAGTTGGAGCAGCCGGTGGACTTTCGTCCGCAGCACACGTATGCTGCATCCGGCCTACTTGACCTCGCCATCACGCTCCTCCGCCTCACGCTGGACCCAACCACCATGTTCTACAGCTCCGCCATCCACGTCCACACCTCCCACAGTCTCCAGCTCGCCACACTCGCGCTGCTCTCTGAGATGCTGGGTAGGGGGCTCCTCCCAACCTCGCACACCTGCGCCGCCGCCGCTGCTCCAGCCCTGCTCCTCGCATACGGCCAAAGGTGGAAAAGGGGAGACAAAGGGAGAGATAATGGAGAGAGAGGGAGGAGGAAGAAGGGGGAGGAGAGAGATGATGGCATGTGGCCCGATAGGGTTAATGGACTCTTCTGTCAGATATGGATCATGTTTGAGGAGACGAAGATTCTAAAAGCTAGCTGGTTTGGTAGGTAGCTATAGCCTCTAAAAACATGAAAAAAAATGGTTCCTCAGCTTGTAATTTTCAGTTATTTTCTAAATAGATTGTATAGTTATACATCACATAAAATATGTACGCTTTAAATTGGATCATGCTTTAAATTGTAAGTGAGTTTCTAGTAATGGTAACTTCTCTTACAATTTCTAGCTCTTAAATTGGATCATGTTTTTTTTAAATATTTTCAGCTTCTCTATATAATTCAAATTGTCAATCATACTCTATTACAATGTCAAAAATCTAAAACGACAGAGTAGTAGTAATATTGAATAAAATATGATACATTTGAAAGGGTATAGTTCGAAATGTACATTTGAATCCAACTCGGGACAATTCGTCGGTATGCTGTGTGGACGGGATTGAGAGAGACCTGACGAGTGGGTTTGCTGTTCCGGCGTGGGGGCCGGGGGAGTTTCTGGTTTCCAGCATCGAGGATTCGAGATGCTGCCATTGTGCCATGCTGCTGGTAGCCTGTGCTAGTCAGCCTGTTCACTGGTGCAGTGGTGCTGCTGATGCTCAGCTCAGGGCCCGGTCTGGGAGAGTCAAAGATTCCCGGTCCATGGTTTGAATTTGGAAAGAGAGAATTTCTCTTTTACTTTTCTAGTAGATCTGAAAATTATTTTAATTTTGCTAAGGTGAACCGGTGTGAGCTGAGATCTACTCCCTCCGTCCCAGGAAGAAGGGATTCTGGAAGCCCAAGGTAGTTTTAGAATAAAGAGTAAAAGACTAAACTAACCTTAGTACTAGTACATCCAATTATTAGTTACAAATAAAGTATTACTACTGCCACACATTAATAAAATATAATTAGTACTCCATACTCAAACACACATGGAGATACAGGGCGCCAAGGTGCCAAATAATTTGAATGAAGAGTTAAGCGCCACTTTATTGGCGGGATGTAATACAAATTTAGCACACCCCACCACAACAAACCCTACAAGTTTCAAATCTGAAGTTTCCCTCCCACTTTATCACTTCATAACTCTGCAAAAACACAAGTTTCCCTCCCACTTTATCCCTTCATAACTCTGCAAAAACACATCCATGGCTTTAGATCTAAATATAGCATTAGATGATGGAGATGAACATGCTATACCTAACCTCAATGAAGCAGTGGCTGAAGAAACAGCAGCGGCTGATCAGGAGGATGACCAGGTTGGAGGTGATCTCCATGGAGGTGCCAACCGTGAGCTTCCTGGAGGTGATTTCCAAGGAGGTGCCAACCATGTGCTTCCTTTTGATCTCAACTTGCATGCATCTGACCAAAGGAGAAATACATCTAGGTAACCTTGTAAACATGAATAGAAAATAAATGATCTTTGTAGATATGGCTTGCATAAATCACTCTAAAATCTTTGCCATTTCTCTGTAAAAATGATCTATAACATGTGCATTGATGCAATTGCTATCTTCTTGGAACAAAATTGGTCTTTGATAAGCTTGAGAAAACAATTAGGACTTGATTTTTTTTCTTTGATATTTACCAACTCAATTCTGTCAAGAGTTGAGCATAATGAAATTTATTCCCTTCCATAATATCAGAGGTTATACTAGATTCTAGATATGCTAGATTCTGCATGGATAGTTTGGTTAGGCCATGTTTATTTCAAGGTGAAAAGTTTTTAAGTGTCATATCATATATACGAACACATATTTAAAGTATTAAACATAGTATAATAACAAAACAAATTACAGATTCCGTCTGTAAACTGCAAGACGAATTTATTAAGCCTAATTAATCCGCCACTAGTAAATGTTTACTGTAGCACCACATTGCTAAATTATGGCGCAGTTAGGCTTAAAAAATTCGTCTCGCAATTTACACGCAATCTGTGTAATTATTATTTTTTCTATATTTAATACTCCATATATGTGTCCAAAATTCGATATGATAGGGTGAAAAGTTTTTCTTTGTAAACTAAACAGGGCCTTAGCCAAGCTCTGTGGATTTGGTTGCCCGATGGCCAATAATGAAGCCCATAAGTAAGGCCATGTTTAGATCATTTAGTCCCTGGATATTAAACTTGTCCCTTACTGTTTTGATCTAGGAACTTCAGTAAAAAGGACTAAAAGCACGTAGACCGAGGGAGAAAAAAGAGAGTGGTTATCATTTTAGTCCTTATAAATACCTCTAAGAGGGTCTAATAGATTTTAGTTCCAATATACACCTTTAATCCCTTTTAGTCATCCCTATTTAGATTCTTAAGGATTAAAAGTGACTAAAATGGAGGGATTAATAGATTACTCCATGACCAAACATGACCTAAGAAAACATGAATGCAGTTTACATTTAACTATCCTTCGAGATAGTCACGTCTACAAACTAAACCTATTTTTGAACGGAGGATGTATAATGAATAAAAACTGAACTACTTTCTATGAAACTGAACTAGTGATCTAAGGGCGAGGTCAGCGAAGGTGAATAGACTCATCTGCCTAAGGCTTTTTTAAGTATACAGACACACATTTAAAGTATTAAACGTAGATTAATAACAAAACAAATTACAGATTCTGTCTGTAAACCGCGAGATGAATTTATTAAGCTTAATTAAACCGTCATTAGTAAATTTTTACTGTAGCATCACATTGTCAAATCATGTCGTAATTAGGCTCAGAAGATTTGTCTCGTGATTTACATGTAAATTATGTAATTGGTTTTTTTTCCACATTTAATGCTCCATGCATGTATCCAAACATTTGGTTTTGATGTGATGGAAAAGTTGAAAGTTTGAAGAAAAAATTGTGAATCTAAAGGCCTAATTTTAATAGAAACGTTCGCCCAACATATGTTTGCATCTCGAGCCTCATAACTGTAGTGGGAGTATTTGATACACACGTATACGACTGTTCCATCTTGTTTTAATTTTCGACAAAAATATTGATAAATTTTTTGATCTTTAAGCCTGAGGAACAAAACCGTATAGTCGTGCGATTTTACTTTCAAAATGACGATAAAAATTCAACGAATGTCAAATGTCAAACCTTGATTTCTCCCTTCCAGAAGTCGAGAGTTTTTGAATTCCTCAACTTGCCGTCGGCTTGTCCCTCTTCCCGCGTGTTGAAATCATCTTCCCTTCCAGAAAGCCAACGCCTTCATCTGATCATCTCCTTGGCCACCAAGAAATGCCTTCGTCGAACACCTCGCCACGCCACGCCGCGCGCGCGCCCATGGCCCTCTCCTGCGCCGCCGAGTGCGCGCTCTCCCTCGCCTGCGCGCGCTGGGCGCTCCGCCGCCTCTCCCTGTCCGGCGCCGACGACAGCGCGTCCTGGCCCGCGGCCTCGCCCTCCTCCTTCGCGCCCGTCCCGCGCGCGTGCCGCTCCGCGCTCGCGGCCTGGCAGCAGGGGCACGACGAGGCGGAGCAGGCGCCGACGCCGGCGCCGTCGCGGCTGTGCCCGCCGTACCGCCTCTCCCACGACCGCGCGCGCGGGGAGGTCGTGCTCGCCGTGCGCGGGCTGGGACTCGCGCGGCTCGAGGACTACCGCGTGCTCCTCGACGCCGGCGGGCCCGAGCCGTTCGCGGGCGGGCACGCGCACCGCGGGCTCCTCCGCGCCGCCGTGTGGCTGCTCGACCGGGAGGGCCCCGCGATCCGGCGGATGGTGGCGGAGGCCGGGCCGGCGGGGTGCAGGCTCGTGTTCGTCGGCCACTCGCTCGGCGCCGGGGTCGCCGCGCTCGCGGCCGTCGTGGCGGTGAGGTGCTGGCTGGAGCGGCTCGGCCTCCGCCGCGGCGACGTGAGGTGCTACGCGATGGCGCCGCCGCGGTGCATGTCGCTCGGTCTCGCCGTCGAGTACGCCGACGTCGTCCACTCCGTCGTGCTACAGGCAAGCCTAGCCTCCCAACAACATTGTTGCCTCTTTCCCCTTAGCTGATATCGCGTCCATTTCTAGCATTGTTTATCGAACATTCTGCAATAAGAACGGAATCCGACCTCGATTCATTTCGTTGCAATGATTTTGGAATTCGAATCGCACACTCAATTCTTGAATTTGGATGCAGGACGATTTCTTGCCAAGAACTCCAGCGCCTCTGCAACACATCTTCGGATCAATTTTCTGGTAATTAAAACAGCTAAAAATACTCTTGTTATCCATGTGTTCCAACGGCGTTGATTACTGGTTGTTCCAGCTGTTGATTCACCAATTTTTTTAGAACAAGTGATTCACCATTTTTTCTGTTTCTTGCATTGCAGTTTGCCGTGCCTGCTGTGTTTCATTTGCATGAGAGACACGTTTGTGTCAGAAGAGAAGCTTAAGGATGCATCTAAACTCTACGCTCCAGGAAGAGTCTTTCATATCGTGGAGAGGGAGAACTGCAGGTTAAGGGCCAAAATTCCAAAAATTAAAACTTTTTTAAAATTAAAAAAACAAAATCCTTGTGTGCTAGTATGGCATTAGACATTAGTTAGAAGCTTCCGAAGATTAGCTGTTATATTTACACTTGATTTTAATTGGCATTGTATCCACATTGGCTGCTATGCAGATGTGGGAGACTTCCGCCGCAGGTCAGAACGGCAGTGCCAGCAGAGGGCAGATTTGAGCATGTGGTGTTGTCATGCAACGCCACTTCTGACCACGGGATTATTTGGATCGAAAAGGAGGCTCAAAAGGCTTTGGATGTGAGTAATTTCGTCTTTGCACATGCCTGCCTGTCAATAGTAAAAAAAAATTATCCCTCTTTGTAACCGATCAATTATTCTTTCTTCCCTTTTTACGAATCGGCACAAGACAATACCCGTTTCATTGTATAGAGTAGGAGAAAAAGTGGTATAACCAACATGTTGCATGGCTTTCTTTACCAAGTTGTTGTTCATCCTTAGCAACATGATTTCATTAATCATTTTACCTGATGTTTAATTTCTTCGCATGTTCCTTTTTTTCTTTTCTTTCGTTTGCTGTCCTGCATGTTCTGGTTGCCAATCAGTTAATGGAGCAAGAAGAATTGACACTACCCCCATCCCAGCAAAAGATGCTCAGAGTGAAAGAAACGGAATCACTCGCAGACCACCAAAAGCTCAGTGCAGGGAATCCACAAGAAGACGACACCCTCTCCTCCTCGTCACCGTTCAGTAGCCCTAGAACTTCGACGACATCATCATTGCGCAGCGAATCGTCGTCGACGAGGAGCGAGTGGGATGAGCTCGTGGAGATATTTCTGAGTGACCATGAAGAAGACGGTGATGGTAGGACAAACATGTGTAACCGGGCAGGTTGTTTGCCTTGCTGTAAATAAAAGATTGTTGCATAGAAATTTTAGAGTGTAAATGAACTATATTGAAATTAGAGTGTAAATGAACTAGAAGATGGTTAAATTTTATTCCAATTCGACCTCACGATCAACTCGATTGAATGTTAATATACAGAGGCTCCAATAATCCATCCGTACCAGTGTACTATTGTCCCAGATACTAGTAAGGCTAAGTTATACTCCTATTTCTCAACTTGAAACTTTAACTTCCTCGTTGTTTTTCAAACTGTTAAATGATATGTTTTTTTAAAAAAATTCTATATAGAAGTTATTTAAAAGATTCAAATAGTTATTAATCTTAATTAATCACGTGCTAATGGGATTTTTCGTTTTACGTGTGTCAAAAATCTCTCTCAAAAACAAAGAGATCGAACGCAGCCTAAGTAGTACTCCATAGTATTGATCCACCATATGGGTACTAGTAGTAATTTTTCTCTTCACAAAAATTATTCAGTTACCTTATCACTATATATATTTCTAATTTCTATCAAGCTTGTATGGGGTAAAATGGGTAAAAGAAAAACATCATATTGAAAAAAAAGAATAAAGACAACATTATTCATCGTTTCGCCCACAAATAATTGTAATATTGTGACACTTATTTCTAACTAAAATTTAATTATATGAATTCATATTTTATATATGTGTTCTTAATGACTTGAAATCCAATATTGAAAAATAAATTATGATGAAAACAAATATTAAAAACAACTTTCAAGTTAGAATTTAAAATTTGATTGTGTTTACTCTCCCTGTTTCAGATTATAAGTCATTTTGACTTTGGTTAAAATCAAACAGTTCCAAGTTTGATTAGTTTTGTAGAAAAAAATGTAATATTTTTAACTCAAGACAAATATATTATAAAAATATATTCAATTATTGATTTAAAGAAACTAATTTGATGTCGTAAATATTACAATATTTATCTACAAACTTAATTAAATTTAAAGTAGTTTAACTTTGATGAAAGTTAAAACGAATTATAACGAGGGATTAATAAACTGAAGAGCAGCTGAAAAATTTGTCATCACTTATCACCATGACACGGCCGGTGACCACATTTCGCCGGTGAACACACAGACACAAAAACTAGCCGTTACTCTATATCGTAGTAGCATTCAAACTAACCAGCCACGCGAAGCCACCACGACAACCGCAGCAAAATCTCCGGAAGCCGCCCCGCCACCGAACCGAAGAGCGCCGCCACCGCCATGGGGAGTCTCGGCGGCAAGTCCGACTACGAGAGCGTCCGCGACGCCCGCATCTCCGAGAACCTGGTAAGCATCCTTCTCCTCGATCATCAACTTTCGGGTTTCCTCTCTGGATGAGGAATCTCTCGCGCGCGGACGCGATGGCAATGGCTCGCCCGCCGCGCTGATTCTTGGGCGAGTCCCCGCAGGCACGGATGGAGATGCTCGGCCTGCGCCGCTGCGCCGGGGAGTTCAGTGCCATCGCCTCCGCCTCCGCGTCCGCCTCGGCAGCAGCCAGCCGCCGCGCCGGGATCGGCGGCACAACCCCGAGGAGGAACCCCAAGCCGCCGCGTGTCCTCACCCCGCTCCGCCGCTCCGGCCGATTGGTCGCCATCGCCGCCGCGGCGCCGGCCGGATCCGCGTCGGGTCCCCGCCGTTCCGCCCGGCTTAACGGGCAGACGACGGAGCACAAGGCGCTGCCTCTGAAAGGTTGGTCCCTCTCGCTGCCGCGTTCGCTGAAATGCTGAATCTCCATGGCATCTGGCTGCCTGAGATGGGAACAAATTCTTGTGCTCTCTCTCTCTTAGGATCTTTGAGTAAGTTTGCCGCGGAGGAAGCAGAGGAGGAGGAGGAGGAGGAGGAGCAAGAAGAGAAGAAGGCGATGGTGGTGATCGACAAGGAGAGGGTGCGGATCCTGCAGGAGCGGAGGTGTGACAGCAAGGGGAGGGGCGCCGTGTACGACCCTGTTCTTGGGATTTGCTGCCATTTCTGCAGGTAGATTCTCCCCACTGTCAACATTTACGACCGATTAGTGCTCCTCATCTTGTTCTTAATCAAGAATGCTAGGTACCATAGTTTTCATACTGTGACTTGTTGAGAAAATTTCTTCATAGTTTTCGTATGATTTGTTGAGAAAGTCTCTTCTCGTGTGATCTTAGGCAGAAGAAATTGTGCGGCGAGGAGGGCTGCAAGCGCTGCGGGGAAGGAGACCTGAACCAGCCTTGCATAGGTAAAAAAGAAGCAGTAAAAAGGTCAATTTTTTGGTGTCAATTATTATGTGCAGCTTGATTGCAATAGTCAACTCCTTTTCTGTGTCAATCTTTGACAGGGAAGACGGATTGCTCCTCTTGCCATTCTTCTTATGGAATACTGTGCCGTGCTTGCCTGAAAGTGAGGTATGGGGAAGGTAAGCTTCATGCTGTCAAGAAATGCCATTGTTGTTGGTCAGCTTATTGTGTTGGTAAAGCTTCTGATTTTGAGATGTGGTATCAGACATGGATGAGGTCAGGAAGAACAAGAACTGGATGTGCCCTCACTGTATTGAGGAGAAGGGTACCAAGAAATTCTGGATATGTAACAGGTATATGATTCTTACAAAGCTTTGATATTTCATCCCAATATCAAACTGAAGGAATGTATGACTATGCTCACTTGCTCGATTTTTCATAAAAACTATGCAGCTCCATCTGCTTGAAGAAGAGGAAGTTATCACCAACTGGAATTGCCATATACGACGGTAATTCTGCGTCCACAACTTGATATATGAGGCTTATCCATACTGTCAATGCTAATTCTACCATGATACATGTTGTTCTTGATGGTCCTAAATCCTATCTATTTTTGGATCCCTTAACAACAGCGCGGGAGCAAGGTTACGAGTCTGTTGCGCACCTTCTCATGGACAAGCTGAAGTGCCGAGCATTCTGAGGTCTTCTATGTCGTTCAGAGACGACGATGATGTTTGCCTAGCGCACTGGAAGGTGGAAGGGCCCCTTTTGTTTTGTTGACAGTAGGTATGACGCACTTTAGGAGAAAAACTAGTGTAGAAATGAGTACCACTATTGTGCTCAAGATTGTGAATCTAGTACTAGAACCTTTTGTAGCCGATGTTTCCATATGCTGCTTGTGTTTGGGGGCAGCTGGGCTATTGACTGTTCTTCTGAAGATCCAAGCAAGGGAACATGTATTGCCTTTTCAATCAGTGGTTGATGAGTCATGACCATAACTGTGTCTGCTACTTGCTAATTTCATGGCTTAATGTCATTTGTACCAAACGATAATTTTGTTAAACATTGGTGCCTTGGTGGCATGCCATTTGGATAAGTAGGGTTTTTTCTGAGAGACCATTTGAATCTCTAATTGTGAATTGTGACAAACAAGCTACAATAACTTCGCAAATGCTACTTACGTTATGGCAGTTTCAAAACCGTTTCAGTGCACGGATTTTTTGCTGTTCTCACAAATATTAGGTGGCCTACCTTGCACTTGCATAACAAGAAAAAAAAATCTGCCTTTATCCAAATGAAAACTTAGGCCTTGTTTTAGCACGTCTGATGTCTCCAACTTCTTGATATTTCTACACAGGGAAAGTCGTGTGCAATAAAAAATACAAGCACAAGTCGTCCTTATAGAAAATAGGGTTTATAAACTAAACTAAAGTGGCTTAAACTACAAAATTCTCTTATTTCAGTCCGAAATAAATACACAATGTGTTACTAACAATCTTAACCTGCACCCATCTCCAACTTCAACAATGTCTGTAACTAGAAATTCCCAGCTCAAGAAAAACCTGGAGTTGAAGTTGTGCCAAAAGGGATCACCTATACATTTGTCAACAAATTTTCTCCTAAAAATTTGACAGATGTAATTATAGTACAATCATAGTGTAATTACACTATAACTTGTATATAACACAGTAACTTGTATATAAGTTCCATGTAATTTTGAATCATTAGATCTATTATAAGATTTGTTCTGATGAAGAAGAAAAAAAATCACAGCACACATATGTGAGAGGATTTGTTCCCACGACCTTCATTTTACCCAAAAAACATGTTACGGGGAGATTCTTGAAAGTGTGTAATTATATGCAAGTTATAGTTGTCGACGTTTGATGTCGCGATTCCGGTATTTGCATAGTATGGGGATCGTTGGTACTAGGATATACGCGAGACTGAGGTAAAAGATAGAGACAGGGATTTTTATACAGGTTCGGGCCCTTGAATGGTCAGGTAATAACCCTACATTCTGTTGGCCGAAGCCGATATTGCTCTTATTCACCATAATCACACCGGTACAATATTTGGGGTAGCTTATATAAGTGTTTGTCGACATGGCGGTCTGAAGCTCTGACTCGTAGTCGACAACAGGGTAGTCTTCCTCCTCGAGTTCGTGCTCGGCGAGATCAGAGATAACGCTATGTCTCTCCTAACAGTATCCGGAGACACCGTAGGGGACTAGCCGTGCTTATCTCTAAAGTCGATATCCAGCGTCTTGTCTTGGCGTATGTTAGTTTGTATGTTGTGGCCTCTGTTGTCCCGTAGATTGTGGTGGGTGTGTCGTCGATGTCCCCCTCTCCTCCTAAGGGGCCTTGTATTTATGTCCCCTTATCCAAGTAGAACTAGGGAAACCAGTATGGATACAATCCGAGTAGTCTTTGTCGTTTCCATATAGAACTCTGGTTGTCTTTCCTTATCCGGAACTCCTCCTATATTCGCAGGTTGTTTCCGTATATGACATGGTAAGTGGTGGGTCCTGCTGAGATTTAGTCAACTACTATTAGGTATGTGGTATCCATAACCCTGATAACAGTGTAATTACACTATGATTGTACTGTAATTACATCTGTCAAATTTTTAAGAGAAAATTTGTTGGGAACCTCTACGGCTCAGGTGCCCGATCATTTGGAGAAAAATCGGGCGATGATGTCATGCAAACTTCTTTAAACTGATTTATCTCTTAAATTACTTATCCAAATCATTATCTGATTGCACCATTAAATTTGTTGCAATTAAATCTTAAAAACAAGACCACACATGGATATATTCCGACGAAATTTTTTTTAGCTTATTATTGAATTATTTTTAAATGTTGCACGATGTTACACCTGGTATATCGGAATTGTTTCACTAAGTAGATCGAAAATATTTCACTCGTTTAAATTGAGTGTTGTTTCACCTTATATGAAAACAATGTTTCAGCAAATAGCGAAAGATTGTTTCAGTTCACTGCAACATTTAATCCATACATAGTAAAACATTATAACTACACTAGGTGAAACATTTTTCGGTGGAACAAAAAATAAAACGAATTCCCTTAATAGGGGGTTTCCAAAATATGTGGGTTTTTTTTGTTGCAATGAAAGATTTCAGTTCACTACAACATTAGATCTATACATAGTAAAACATTGTGAGTACACTCGGTGAAACATTTTTTGTGGAACAAAAAAAAAATCAAATTCCCTTAATAGAGGATTTCCAAAATATGTGGTTGATTTGTTGCAGGTGGGGGCAGGTATTGTGGTGGGGCCCAACGACATCACTGCCTGCGGGGGCGGGGGTGGGGGGAGCGCCCGATTTTTGCTCCCCCCGCCCGATCGCCCGAGGACAAGTATTCTCGAAATTTGTCGCAAAATATATAGCAAAATTGGTGCCAAAAAGCCCAATGATAAAATCTATTGTCGGCCCAAACTATTTGTACTGAACTGGGCCCGGTTGGGCCAGTTTTCTCAACCGGGCCGGGTCCTGGAACCGGTTGGAATTTTCCATTTCCAGCAAGTCCACGGCTTTACGGCTGCTTGCTTTTGCGCAAGTTTCAAGCGATGCGCCACCGCGTCGGCCCCGCCGCCGCCGCCGCGGCGGCGCTCCGGCGGTTCTCCCACCTCCGCCCGCCGGCCCCGCCGGACCCGAGGCTCGCCTTCCTTCGCTCAGAGTTTGATGGCCGTGAGCCCGGCCGACAGCCACCGTCACCGGAAACAAGAGAGGAGCCAAAAGGTGGCGAGCGCGCGCGCTCGCCGGTGGCCGTGGATATCGCGCACCCGTGGCCGGAGTGGGTGGCGCTGATGGAGCTCCTCCTTCAGAGGGGCCACCTCGACGCCTCCGTGTTCGCCGGCGGCGCGGCTGGCTCGCCGTCCAAGGATTCCAACGTTATCCGCACCGCCTGCCTCCGGTTTGGGCGAGAGCGGCCGGAGCTTATCAGGTGAGATGCTTCAGCTCGTAGGAGTCGCCAATGTGTGTGCTTCTTTGCTCTGGATGTTGCGGTGCGCCGGTGTCACTTGAGTATGCGATTGTCATTGATAGGGCTATGGTTTAGCTGCACGCACGCGAGGTGTTTGTGGAAATGCCCCGTCAATATAGTTGCATTTTCTTGGTCAGGTAGCCTGATGCACTCGAGGTGGTCTAAATGGCGTATGATATTCATGTGCCTTGCATATAGAGCTGAAACCCTTTTGTTGCAGGCATCTATCAAGATGGGATATCCAGGTTGCTCTCCGGTATGGGTGCCCCAGCATTGACAGGAAGGTTGTTAATTCTGGGAAGCGATTACGTGCTCATGTAGGCCTTGATGAAGGAGAGGTAACTAATAAATACACAATTATTTATTTTCATGTACTGTATTTTTCTCTATTACTTTTATTTTGAAATTGTCAGTTACCAATGTTTGTGAATAGAAAATTGCCTAGTAGCAGTATTTCTGAATAAAATCTTCAAACCATTGGGTTATGAAAAAAATTGCAACATTATAATTAGGATCACAAATGGAGAGAAGAAACTTCTGCATGCTTACAATAGTTTGATGACAAAATTAGTATTTTAATGCTGCTTATAAATCTATATGTTATATAGCATTTCTCCAGCATCAGCTTATGCTGACAGGTCTGCAGCCAATGCAATTTAAGGGGTGGATGCGAGAGGGCATATGTAAAGGCTCGGAAGGAGGAAATTGGAAGAACTGTGGATGTTATGCGCATCCTTTTGACTTATGGGCTTGACACAGTTACTGGCAATGTGGAGAACAGAGCATGTCTAAACAAAACCGTTAAAGAATCCATTAAGAGCCTACTTAATGAGATTGTTGGGTTCGATTCCATGGGTCCTGGTTCCAGCACTGAAAAGCCCACACACCGTATGCCAAAAGGACAATCTTCTATTCCTATGAAGCAGGGTGATTGGAATTGTCCCAAGTATGTTGGAGCCTTTTAATCACATATACATTTTGTGATAATGCCACGCTTTATAATGTCATATGTTATTGTCAGATGCAACTTCTTGAACTTTGCAAAGAATATAAAATGTTTACGCTGCAATGGAGAATTTGAAGAGAGGTATCAGCTGCTCCATGAGAACCAAGAGCATCTTCCTCTCAAAAAGGGTGATTGGATATGCAAAAGGTGAGGTTTCACAAATCTCTAGTTTATAAGATTGACTCGGAGTTGGAATAGTCTTCTTTTTGCACCTGTACTGATCTTATATTTTCAGGTGCAACTTTTTGAATTTTGCAAAGAATACAAGATGCCTTCAGTGCCATGAGAAACCAACAAACCGTCAACTCAATCCAGGGGAATGGGAGTGTGTCTCGTGAGTGGCATTTTTGTTACATATCACTGCATATTTGCATTCTCTTAATAGTTAGTATCAATATGAGAACTTGGCAACAAAATGATGTTAGTGGCTTTGTCTGGTCTTTCAGTGTCATGATTATCTTCTGCTTACTATAAAAAATTTTCCAAGATAACTATACGATTGATTCATGACAGGTGTAATTATTTGAACTTCAAGAGGAATGCATTCTGTTTGAAATGTGGTTGGAAAAGACCAAAATCATTGAACAACCAAGACAGTATTGAATCACAACGTGACTTAGATGATAATAAGCATTCTGCTATTTCATTTATCCAAGATGGCATCCAATCGAGGAGGCAAATTCTGCAAAATAAGGCTCCATTGTCTGACGAAGATTCAGACTTCTGGAGCTCCGAGGAGGAAGGGGCCTACCACAGTGACAAAAACATTCCCCCAATAAAGAAGGATTACAAGTTCCTTGAAAGTTTTCCCATCATTGGGGGTAGGACTGCTATGTCTCAAGATCCTCTTGAGAGGGAGAAATGGAAGGACGAAATGTCCAGGAGAAACAAAGGGCTCCTAACAGAAGTATCAGAAGAAAGTAATCGGCCTTCGTGCCCCGTTCGTATTCCGAGAAGCATTGAGCAGATTGAATCTGGTGACGACGACGACGACGACATTTCATCATGGTTTTCTGGTGGTACTAGTAATATTAACATGAAAAAGGCATAGCCAGATTTCTGTAAACGCTAGTATCTGCACAATTTCATCTGTAATATTTACAGTGTAGGCATTCAGTAAGAAAAAATCATGTCTCGCAAAGAACTTCAGTATTGTACTTCTGCTATGATCTGTCTTGGCAAATAATATACTATGATTTTACAAGTTTTTGTATTCGTGTAGTGGCTGGTTCCATCCACTTTAGTACTAAACAACGTCGAGTTCTTATATGTACATGATTAACCTGTAACGAGTTTCGAGTTTTAACAGTTCTTGTACTGTCGAAGAGCATGAGACCAACCTCTTATCACACAGCTAGACGCTTGTTTTGTAGTTTCTTGTTGCATTTCTCTCTTGTGCCAGTACTCCACCTGCACGATTTTGTTGTGATTGAATTTCAACAAACATATCCACCCAATTATGACCAATCACCAAACCTGCAAATAACTGGAGACCCGACACAACCAACACATAACCTGCAATTTCTACGCTCATAAAATCATTGAATCGCCCCCTCCCCCTCTCCCCTCCCCCCAAAAGAAGATGAAGAAGAAGAAGAAGAAGAAGAAGAAGAAAAGATCAGTGTATTATAAGGATCGAATTGTCTTCTTTTTCTGTCCTTGCATGTTTGGTATGAGATTCGAGCCCAAAAAAAAGGAGATGATGCTTAACGTTTCAGGAGGTTCTTGTGCATTGATTTTCTAGTTATCATGATCATGGTCCCCAACCTTCTTCCTTCCCTCTGAAATTCCCATTATTCAATTCTTGCAAAAATATCGCAAAATTCCTTTATTCCAAAGGAGGCCGCAAAACGCCTTTTGAAAAGTAAATATAAGGAGGAAGAAATGGAGATGTTTAACCCATTTTTGACATCAAAATGGACCTAGGAATTTTAACCCATTTTTGCCGGAATATGCATTTAGGCGCTTGGTTGCATTGTCAACCTGACAGCGACGCACAACGGCAATGTATGGTTGGTAATAATGGAAAAAGACATCACATATTTTCGTAGCAGTAGCAATTAGCACCAACAACTGTCAACTCAGATCCCATGGGTCCGTTGCATGTCTCGAGTGGTTAACTCCGATTTGGTGGTAGCTAGCCAGCTATGTGTGTGTGAGCTACCAACCATTGAGCTGCAGAATCAAGCTTTTGCACTGTAGATTATCTGGATTCACCTTGCATATTTTAGCTTTTTTTTTTTTAAGAAAAGCCTAGGACTCTTATTACAAGGTGTGTGATGGTCGATCTGGCTTCAAGCCTTACCCCTGTCTTAATAAATTTAAATACAAGAGCCCTTCCTCTTACCACGGCCATGTAGATATTTTGTTTTATGGGCAGTGATTATGGCATATTAAAATGACCATGGGCATGATTTGATTTTGGTGCAATCCCTTCTTCCTATATAGTTGGTACCCACTACAATATTAACTCCTATAAAGAAAGCACCAGGTTAAGCCACATCATCAGGATTTTAGAGCCGTCTGATCAATCAATTGTCAGATGCAAGGCACCGTTAGATCTTCTTCCTTGCTGGACACAGAAATAAGGACCAAGTTGGTGAGCCGGCCCTGTTAAGTCTGTCCGAATTCCTGCAAACCTCTGCTGGACACACACCACGAACGATGCCATGCACTGATGGGGATTTCAATCGGCTAATTCAGTTAACAGAAATTGTTTACAGATTATATTCAAGATGAAATTGCACTATTGCAGGTTATACATATTTCCATTTGCAACAGTTCATGCTCTATCTCAATGATATTCAAATAATTCATTTTTCATTTTTTTTATATCTACAGTATGTTGTTTGCCGTGGTAGTTCTTTTCCAGGACTATCATGAAATCCAATTCACACTAATATGTCATTTTGAATTTAGTACTTAGCATAAACCAAAAGGCTTTAATACATAAATGTACGAGTCTCTTTTGACACCATTGATAGTGATAAAAAGCAGTTGGTTCATACTAACTTTTCAGGTTTGAAATAACTCAATAAGCCCACAGCAACGCGCAGGGAATCAACTAGTATATATTACGAATGGTGTCTAACTGTCCATATTCTACTGTATAAGATTGCTTGGAAACATAAGTATTGTTAAAAGTCATTTATGTCTTTTCCCCTTTTCCCCTTTGACTATATTCTGGAGTACTGGATAACTAGAAATTACCTAGGAGTAACTAGAAGGCATTATCCCTAAATTATAGCTTTTATAACAATGTGACCTTGGCAAATTGGCCTAAAAAATTTCCATAGCTCAAATTGAACCACTTGGTAAGTTCAGAACCCCCCCCCCCAAAAAAAAAAAGATCTAGACATTGCTAAAAAAAAATTCGACCACATAGCTAGATATTTCTTAGTGCCATCATGATTTTTCGGTAGTAATGCTCATCTCACAGACCGAGACCTCGTTATGCATGTATTCCATAGAAATTCGTTTACATAACTTTATCTCCGGAAGAAATAGAAAAAAAAATTCCCACATTACAAATATTTTACAATACCGAGCAGGTTCAAACCTACAGTCTGAAATCTGATTGTTTCAGTTACGATTGATAAGCCTTAAAAAAATAAACAAAACAACCAAGTAAAATTTTTATATCTATGTTATCAATGATTTATAAACTAATACTTAAAAATAAGCTATGTTAAAAAAATAAAAAAACTTTAAAATTTACTTTTAAAGTTTAAATTTAATGGCTGGTAGCTAACTAGCGGACTATACTAGCTGTGTTCTTTCCTCTATCTTACCAACTTCTACTACCTCGTTTTTTACACACATATTATCGAATTGTTAAACGGTACATATATTTTTTAAAAAAGTTTATGAGAAAAATTGTATTAATTCATTTTTAATTTCTAACTAATATTTAATTAATCCTACACTAATCTATCGTTTTGTTTTGTGTATTCCGGAGGGAGAAGTTGCAAAACCTGTGAGGGCCGAACTCACCTGAGAGGGTGATACTATACTGTTGCCCAATTGGCAAGGGATTAGCTATACATTTATCATTAAATTTTAATTAAAAAGTTTGACATATGTAAATATAGTACAATCATAATGTAATTACAGTGTAACTTATATGTAACTATAGTATAACTTGCATGTAACTTTTTGACCTAAGTGAAATGCTAATACTGTGAAAATGAAGGTAATGGTACTGAATCCCCCTTACATGTGCGTGGGTTGTAATTTTTTCCTATCACCCTTGCACAAATTTTAAAGCAAATCGAACGATTCAAAATTACATTGTAGTTACATGGTAGTTATACTACGATTGTACCATATTTACATTGTCGATAAATATATAGCTAAATCGATTGGGAATTGTCAAGTCAACCAACTCATCATCCAACTGGAGAAAAATAAAGGGGCTCAAATCCGGTGATCCGCCGCGTCGTCCTTCAGTCCTCCTCCTGATTGCTGCGGTTTGCGCCAAAATTTCTCTCTCTCTATCCCCTCGCCCTTCTTCCCCATGACGTGCTCCCCTCCTCCTCTCCTTGGGCCCCGCTCTCCAGTTACCGTTACCGGCAAAATCTTATCTGCTTTCTACTAAAAGCTGGGCCTTCATGCTTTTTATCTAAAAAACGTGGCACATAACCCCAGGTGTCATGGTTATAAAGTTCCACAAAATTACACTATTATTCATTTTGATTTTGATCTAACATACTTTTGAGTTCTACGATCATATTTAATTTTATAATTTCTTTCTCCATCTTGTAAGTATAGCCTTTTAAAATTTTGATACAAGATTGTTGTCGAATTAGTTAACGGTGTGGTTTTATGAAACTTTAGGATCATAATACCTAAGTTATATGTCACATACCAAAATATGCAATTTTGTACAACTTGGATCATAATAATATGGGGTTTTACGAAATGTACTCTTAAATTTACGCTGTGGCTGATACTCCCTCTGTCCCGAAATATAAGGGATTTTGGTTGGATGTGACACATTCTAGTACTATGAATTTGGACAAAGAGTATGTCCAAATTCACAGTCGCAGGATATGTTATATCCACGCAAAATCTATTATATTTCGGGACGAGGAGAGTAATAAACTAACTAGCGGATTTATAAAGTGACTATGGGTGTGTTTAGTTCACACCAAATTTCCCCCTAACTCCCACTTTTCCATCACATCACATTACATCCAAAACTTTCCTACACACGTAAACTCTTAACTTTTTTTTTCCAAACTACCAACCTTTTCAAACTTCTCCCCAATTTCAGAAACTAAGACAGCCTATACTGTTGCCTAATTGGCAATTGTCAAGTCAACCAGCTCATCATCCAATTGTTGGAGGAAAAAAAAAAAAAGCTCAAATCCGGTGGTCCGCCGCGTCGTCCTCCAGTCCCAGTCCCTCCTGATTGCTGCGGTTTGCGCCAAAATCTCCTCGCCCTTCTTCCCCACGACGTGCTCCCCTCCCCTCCTCCTCGGGCCCCGCTCTCCAGTTGCTGCAATCCTCCCAAGGAGAGGAGAGGACTCCACTCCACGCTGGGGATTGGGATATTCCTTGTCCCGCGGGGTCAGTTTTTAGCAGCAGCAGTACAGTAGTTGGCTGGTTGCTACCACTACACGAGCTCGGGAGGAAGGAAGGAAGGAAGGAAGGAATCGCAAGGCGAAGAGTCGGAGCTGGCGGAGGAGGAGGTGCTCGCGATGGGGTCCGAGGGATCCGCCGGGGTCGTCGTCGGTGAGTAGCCAGGGAACCCTTGCCGAATTTTGGTTTTGTGGTGGTGGATTTGGGTGGGGTGGGGGGATCTTCGCGGCCGGTCAAGAACGCGAGAGTTGGTTGAGTTCTTGATGGGATTTTTAGGGGCTGATTCTCGTGTGGTAGGGCGTAATTTCTCTGGACGTGCGCGTAGGCAAGATTCAAGAAACTCTGAGAGCAAATGTAGATTCGTGAGGAATTAGGATTTGTTAGATTCGTGAGGAGTTAGGATTGCTTCGGGATTAGATTGTTCTGTAAAGGGGAATGCTGAGGGGGTAGTCTCAGCTCTCGGTTCCCAATTCGCCGAACTCTTAGCACTGTGAATTCTTGTTCAATTGTTTGTTCTTTTGTGGCTAAGCTAAGAATTGGAGCAATTTTATATGGATGGAAACGATGGATTTAGGGGTACTAGCTGGATTTGTTGGTTGCTCACGTTTATCTTCAATCGCGAATTATTGCATATCAATAAGTTTGTCTTATCATTAGTTCCTGAGTTTGATCCTAATATCAGTATTTTTGGCATTTCTACCATTTCTTGGTTTGGGTATTTTTTGCATAACAAGATGAACAATACTGCTACTTCATAGGGGGGGGGAGAGAGAGAGAGAGAGAGAGAGAGAGAGAGAGAGAGAGAGAGAGAGAGAGGGGATCCCTATATTTGGTCATTGCAAAATAAAAAATCCGCAATTAAGTCACTCAAGTCTGATCATGTGTTTGAATTTGGTTTACTAATACTTTACAGCCACAGCTGTGGCTTGTCAGCTACCCCACTTGTTCATAGACATGTTTTTTTTTTAACCCAAATTGTAGATTGGCACATTTTTTTTTCCAATATGCAACTAAGGCCGAGTTTAGTTCTAAATTTTTTCTTCAAACTTCCAACTTTTTCATCACATCAAAACTTTCCTACACACACAAACTTCCAACTTTCCGTCACATCATTCCAATTTCAACCAAACTTCCAATTTTGGCGTGAACTAAACACACCCTAATGATAATTTTTCCTTGAATACGCAAGATGCGCTCATTGCATTAGTAGAAGAAGTAAGGCATCCAAACACGCCAAAGAACAGCAAAAAGTACAGGAACTTGCACCACCACAAAACAACCCACTGCAAGGGCGGTGACAAAACCAAAAAGTACTAAAATAGAAGTCCCTAGCCGGGGTCCATGAGGGCCCCTTAGCCCCCGCCAAACTCCATAGGCGGGCTTACTCACTTGCTAACATCAAGACCTAGGCGGGCTTACTCACTTGCTAACATCAAGACCCTATACTAATGATATTAAAATACAACCAGGGTGATGCATTTTACTTTTGTGATCCACTGTGTTGTGACTAGCATGCCACAAAATAACCAAAAATAAAGGAAGTCATTCATACTCTTAAGAAAAGAGACTTCTAAGCGAATACAAAGTGAATATTACTTCCAACTAATAAGAATTGTTCCAGCGTATTCTTTCCACTAAAAGATGATTCGTCCTCCTAAGACATCCAACTCAATTTATTGGCATTCTTTTCTCTTCTTACAAATGGTTCCAATTCTGAAAAAAAAAACGTAAATCTTTTGCTTTATCCGAGGCCTTGTAATTATTTTATCTTACCATTTATCGTGTTCTTTTCTAAATTTTGCTTGAAAGTACTCCCTCTAGTCATTAATATATGACGTTTTTTAACACTAAAATATGTATTAAAAACGTCATATATTAATAGCCGGAGGGAGTACTTTACAGAAATGGAATAAGGTTAGAGTGGAACATAATAATCTCAATAAATGGATATTGAATCTACCCTATCCATGCACTGTAGTTTTTTGGATGACTATAAACTGATACATTCCTTTATCCTAAAATGATACTGGAACTACTTTAGGATTTAATGAGGACCAAAAAGACTGTCCTAGTAGCATATGCATTTTGTTAAGGGAGACTCAACTTTTATGATTCTTATTAGGTCTATGCACCAGGTTAATATATTGTTATATCTAGAGCGGAAACCAGAGTTTACTTTCGGAGTCAATAATTTGCTCTTTCGTTAATTCATAATGGCAGGAAAGACCCTTCATTTATTCACACAAGATGGCCTTCTTATTTCCCAATAGTGCAGCTTTGCTTCCCAATTGGTACTTCTCGAGTTAAAAAAGAAATATTAAGCATGGAATTCTCAACAATGCAATGACTGGCTAAGGCCCACTGTGCTTATCTTTTTAATTGTTGCAGAAATGTAAACTTAGAACCATTGCATTTTCTTTACAAATCAAATTAAGGTTAGACAAAACATGGTATCCAACTGTTATGTATTTCACAATCGTTCTATCTTTTCTGAATGCAATAATATTGCCGTTTGCATCTTAAATTAAAAGAAAAACATTTAGCCAAACACCCGAACATCTAAAAGCAGTTGAACCAAATGAGAATATGATAATCCACCTCAATCGAACAGGAGTCTAAGTCAGCTTTGCATGCCCTAAACATGCATTTTTATCGTAGCCATCCTATAGATGGACCATGGCAAAACAGAACTACAGAACACATTCCCTTGTTCTTGACCCCATACATAATTGATAGTAACTGAAATCAATTCACTATATACAGATCCTGTGAGTTCTGACCTTAGAAACTTTCTTTCTTGTCACTCCATGCATAACTCTCTATCTCATCAATGAACAATGTAAGACATGAAACTGGTGCTGAACAGGTTTCTGCATAATAGGCCCCTCTGTTCATCTCTTGGCTACAAGTTATTTAATTTGGATGCTTTAGTCCTGCCAATAAGTCCTATCATATCTCTATCTGAACTTGGAAGCCTTTTTTCTGAAAAAATAAACATTGAAGGCATTTTTTCTACTTGGTCCATCCCATTTTAGTGGGCAAAATGGCATCAAGGGCGGAGCTACCATTGAAACAAGGTGGTGCACTACCATCGAAAACCTAGAAAATTTCGATGGAACTGTGCATTCTAGCGTTTATAAGTGAGAAATCTTGGATTTAGGGCGGGTCGGGGGCGGGGGTGGGTGGGTGGTTGGGTTCCTGTGCACCACCCAAGCTTAATGTGGCTCCGCCACTGAATGCCATGTGGGTTTGAACAGCATGAACCATGTGCTACATATTAATAAGCTGACACAAACATTTTAAATATTACTAAATATGCTATTGGAATTATCTTTAATAAGGAATGCTTTGCAACTCCATTTTTTTTCTTTGTGCTTATGCAGTTGCTACATTATGTTAGTTAGCCTTCTAGTAATAATAGGTAAATCTTGTGATTTGTGGCATAACATTTTCTCTATTGTTTTCTGTACATTAGTTATGACTTGCCTTTGTTCCCCTCAAACAACACGGTTCTTCTGTTATTTATTACATGGATAGATGAGCATGCCAATGGCCTGGTGCTACAGCTCATGAGGAAACTTTCGAAATATAATTTAAATACGTGAATGGAGTGTGCTCATTCTGGAAAGCTGTTTTGACTTGTGTTGATGCAAAACATTGTCGGATCGGTTACTACACTCCAATTTTATGTTCTCTAAACAGATTAAATATTATTCTTTTTTGGGATTTCAAGCCTCATGAGTAGCTGCATACAGAACAAATCTAGTAATTCATTTATTGAATTCTTTACTGTGCTGAGTACATCTCTGCAGTTCCCAGAAACTTTAGACTGCTTGAAGAGCTTGAGCGAGGTGAGAAGGGCATTGGTGATGGGACAGTGAGCTATGGAATGGATGATGCTGATGACATATATATGCGTTCCTGGACAGGAACTATCATTGGCCCTCCTAATGTATGTTGTATAACACCCATTAGTAGATATTAACTGCATTTGCTTCTGTATGCTCAAACTGAATGATCTTTTACATTCAATTTGTCTTGCAGACTGTTCATGAGGGACGAATCTATCAGTTGAAGTTGTTCTGTGATACAGACTATCCAGACAGACCACCTACTGTTCGATTCCAGACTCGAATCAATATGTCATGTGTGAATCAAGAAACTGGAATGGTACATGTCCACTTGCTTTCCTTTAAGCTAAAGTAGTTGGTGAATCATTTTATTGGCGTAGTACTTACAAGGAGCTACTTTCTAGGTTGAACCAAGTCTATTCCCCATGCTTGGTAACTGGCAAAGAGAACATACAATGCAAGACATCCTGATCGGCTTAAAAAAGGAGATGTCTGCTCCTCAGAATCGTAGGCTCCATCAACCCCATGATGGTAATTTCCATATCTCTGCTTCAGTGAATTTGATCTACAGCCTCGTCGTTTTCCCTTAAGCTTATAAACCGCAACCAAAATTTGAGTTTTAAAACTTAATTTCGGAGTTAATTTTAGTGCTTTTTTTTATCGTAGTTTATTTCTAGCATTTGTTTTTAAATCGCTGAGGACACGTATATAAAAGTTTCGCTCACAAATTATTTTTTGGGCACTGATAAGCAGTTACAGTTTATAATCAGCATAAGCGAAACAATGAGGTTGCTACTTGCTAGACTGAAGTTGCATGTTGGGTTCTGAACCTAGTTGCTGTTTCTTTCTGCAGGCAATGAAGATCAAAGAGTAGAACAGAAAGGGCTATCGCTTAGGTGTGTCATCATGTAAGAGATGCGAATTGCAATGTACAGTATTATTAAATTGAGTAGCATCAGGCGCAAAAAAGAGAACCCATGATCTCCTGTAATTTGGCAGTAACTACATTGGATCCAAACCGTGCTGTCGCCTCAATAAAATGTCGGCAACTTCGTTAATTTGCACATTGTGTAAACCGTTCATCCCCTCGTTCAGTAAGATTGCAACTTGCAAGTTGCAACCCATGTCTCCATTGTTTCAGGAAAGCATCCGTACCATCTTTCTGCTTGTCTGTTCCAGTCTGAATTATTAGTTTGTCTGGAGACCTGTAATTTTCTTCAGACACCTGGTATGCATGCTAGTTGGAGAGCAGTATCTTCAGAATGCTAACCTGGTTGTTGATGTCAAGATACCCCTCTCTTTTTATTTTTTATCACTGCACCCAAAATATAGGTGCTCCAAAACTGGGAATTTGGTTTTTTTCTATGAAATTCAGTGAATTACACTCAAAACTTTTTTGCCGACAAACTTATCCCGGTAACCTAGACACCTAGTATACGTGCAAGCTGGAGGTCCATAAACTTCCGAATGCTGTGGCCGGACGGCTGCTGTTTGAGGCGATTTTAAACTTCTTGCACAACACCAAATCCAGACGAAATTCAGCTAAACTCATTAGAGAAACCTCCTCATGAAGTCACCCAAATGCTGAACCTCACCTCTTGCAAACAAGCAGGAGACCGTGCCCTCCTCCTGTTGAGAGATCCTTGACGTTTCAGGATGAGAAAAGCATCCGTCCAAGAAAGGGGAAAAAAAAAAGAGAGACGAACACCAAAAGGCAAAGGCAAAGCATTTACAGGGAACATGCTCCTGCGTGCCCACAAGCCTACAGCGCAAGCCAAGGAAAGCGAGGCTGTGCCTACCCTGCCATGGCCATGGCCATGCCTTCTCTGCTTGCAACTCGCACTTCGCAAAGCTGATGACAACGCCTCCTGTCCTATCCAATGTGATTGGAATCATCGTCGACTCGATCTTTTTCCTCATCGACCACCGGCCAAACCCCAGGCTGCCGACACGGCAGCATCAAAATGATATGGCTTGTCCTACTCTTCTTCTTCTTCTTTTTCTTTTTTTTTTCCTACTATTTGTTTGGAGATTGACAGATTGTGGAAGTAAAACTTCTGGCCTCTCTGCATCGTGTGATGCAAATAACCAATTTCAGAAGACCAAAAATGCTGAGCCGAGATCGGTGTGATTCTGCATACGAGTTACTTGAAATGCAGGGAATTATTATGAACTTTATGTTTTTTTTTAGATAATGGAAATAGGTTACATCTCTGGTCTCTGCCCGTAAGCACACAGCCAAAAAGTCCAGAAGATTATGAACTTTATGTAACTCTCAGTAGTGTGGAGTTCTACACTTCAACTCATTGCTCTTTGAAACCAATGAAACTTGCAGTGCAAACTGTGGCCTGTGGGTGCAGACTACTACAGAATTACACCCTCATCAATATCGCAGCCATGAAAGAAGATTCTACCATTGACTCGTAAAGCAGACTGAAAATTTGTTTTTCCAAAGTAAAGAGAAGATGGAAACGAAATTCAATGTTCAGAGTTTCAGTTCTCAAAAAATGTTCAGAGTTTCAGACTTATGTACCACAAGAAAAGAATAAATAAACAGCTGACTATTCAGACTAACATGCTGTACAAGAGACAAACACCCAGCGTCAGAGATACTCCGTAATGTTCGTTTCACTCTTGCAGAATTCTGATCCCGAATTCTGAAGTAACACAAGCTGGCTGATGTGGCATCAGAGATATCCAGAGCAGTGCAATAAACATCTCCCAGGCCAGTTTAATTGACCGTACAGAAACTACAGTGCTTAGCAGATCATGTCCAAGAAAAGGGACCATTTGCTGAAAAGTAAACACTGACAGGTCCTGGATGTAAGTACTGAAAATGAGTACTAGCTACAACAAATTCAGAGTGACATTACCAAAAACATAATTGATCAGTCTCCATTATCATATACTCCCTCCGTTTCGAAATGTTTGACGCCGTTGACTTTTTAGCACATGTTTGATCGTTCGTCTTATTCAAAAAATTTAAGTAATTATTAATTCTTTTTCTATCATTTGATTCATTGTTAAATATATTTTTATGTAGGCATATAATTTTACATATTTTACAAAAGTTTTTGAATAAGACGAACGGTCAAACATGTGCTAAAAAGTCAACGGCGTCAAACATTTCGAATAAGAGGGAGTACTAGTACGTCTTTCTCGAGAAGGTAGAAACTGAGACTTCATCTTTGCGATTGCGAGACCGTCACTAAAGTCGCCACCTTTCATGGTTCAACCCATACTATTCCACCCCTCAACTTTTCTTTTTTTCACCCTATCATCATTCTAGAATGCGTGCAATTAATATATCAATATTTTGACAACGTATGTACTGATGATATTTAAATTTCTCATATGGAAATTGCATTAAATTTTTCATCAAAAGTGCCTCAAACTAACCATATAGCGAGCAAAATAAATATGAAGTATAAAAGAACAGAGGGAGCACAACACTAGCACTGTTTACTCTCTCTGTTCTTGAATAATTGTCACTGTTGACTAAGATTGTCTCACTTTGATTAATTAAAAATGATTATACTATAACAAATAAAAATTGTAATGCGCCTGTGGTGACTTCGTCAATCTCCAGGATTTATTCGTTCAGCCTTTGAATATGTTCATAGGGGTAGGGTTTGCGTGCGTGTGTTCATAGGGGTGAGTATGCGTGTGTTGTGAGTGTCTGCGTTATACCGTGTACTCTAAAAAAATTTTATTAGCCCCCTCCCCCCCTCCCCCAAACACACACACACACACACAAATTTGGGTAAAAATAGATCAAATAATATCTGACCGATTTACCCGGAATCCGATCGGAGCGAGGATATGGTACATGTATTTTAAAATCGGGTGAAAAAGGGAGTTTTTTTTTTCTCGCTTAGATCATATTTGAGACTTTGACGCAGACCAATATGGCATGCTGGAAAAGGGAGACAGTGTCGCTCTCGGCTTCTCGCCTGCTGACTGCGAGAGTAGCTTTTTTACACAGCAACGTCGTCACAGTTGGGTGGCTTGTGAACATCATGAAACACACGCCATGTTCCCATGAATTAATCCTGAAAACCTCTCGCGATCAGAAGCATTTTTCTTTTCTCGGCACAGTTTCCTCTGCTCCCTTTCTGGTCAATCTGAAGCTTCCATAAGCCACGACTGACCAAAATATTTCAGCTGATGTGACATGGGGCCGAGGTTACAGGTGGTGACAAGTAGGAGTACTTCCGTACGTGTTTAAATATTACAATTTCTAGCATTCAAATTTTGTTTTAAAATATAACAACTTATATATCTATTCATTTCTCAATCAATAACGACCTTTTACTTTTAGTATTTAAAATATTACAATTTGTTTGTTAAATCTACTTCCGTGCTTAAATATTACAATTTATAGCATTCAAAATTTGTTTCAAAATGTAAACGATCTTTTACCTTTTAGTATCCTCACCAATCACAATCTTTTCATATTTAATTTCACCTATGTTTATAATACTCATGTCTAATTTTAAAACATTTTATGTCTTGGGACGGAGATAGTAGCTGTTAGTCCAATCAAATTGCTAAATGATTTTTTGTTTGGAGGCTCTTTTTCTCTAGTGAGGAGGAACTAGAAGATGTTGACATGGCAGGCTGGCAGTGATGGTTATCCCTTTATTTTTGACTTGATTGTTCAAAGACCGTGGGAATACTGTTAGTGATAGAAGTAAAAATACAAGAGTAGTTTCAGTTTGTTCCTTTGTTTAAAGATGTTGGGGTTGTTCAAAACATTGGTGGGGGGTGGGGGGGTGTCGAGGGTCAAGGTTCCAAAGAATGGTGGCTGGAGGAAAGAAGAATAATCTGATGCAAGTTCACTTGTTTAATATTACTAGAGTCAAAGAGATTGAAGGAAAAATAAATAAATAATCTGAAAGCTCGAAGTATGTCGTCAAACGCTGGGCTCCATATGTTCAATGTTAATACTCTATTTAAGCATATTATGGTTACTAGCATTCTCAACGTGACTAACAGAGAAGGATGTCATGCTGAACCTGTGAGCTGAGACGTACTGCGATTGTGAGTAGGCGATAGCAACTCTAATCATCTTCATAGTCGCTCGTAAAACGAAGCATCTAAGAGTTGATACTATTTTGAATAATACTACAGTTGACTTGAAACTCAAAAGGTACATGGATGACCGGTATAAAAACTAGGGATGAATCGGGTTGGGTTTCGATCCTTCTTATATCTTAACCCATATTTTATGATCGGAATTGGATCGGACATAAGTAATTATTAAATACGGATTCAAATACAGATAATATCGATTATAAATATGAAATGAATATGTAGCAATTGCAAGCAGGTACGTATTACTACCTCCGTCCTAAAATGTAGCTATTTCTAGCCAGTACTTTGTTCCAAAATGAAGCTATTTTTTTACCTACCTTCTCCTCTCAACCAATCACAACCATTCTTTTTCACCTACTTTCTCTTTTCAACCAATCACACACCTTCTTCAGTCATTCTCATCTACTTTTTTAATACCCATGCCAACCTCAAAAATACTTACATTTTGGGACGGAGGAAATATATCGGTAACCGAATATTGAGTCAAAGGGACGATCATATACGGTAAATTTTCAATCGCCATTCAATCCCTAATGCAACTAGATTAAGGCATAGCAACAGCAACATAGATAATATCTATTACTCCATCACACCATTACTAGTTTTAGCACTAGCACTCCCGTTTTGTGCTTGATTTATGGTGGTTATGAGTTGATGTAAGTTTCGTGGGCTATGGCTTTTTTTTGGACTAAACAAAAAGCCTGCTAACCGGCAATATTTGGATAGTTTACCGGGTAATATTTATTTACCCGTCGGATACCATCTTTCAATCCCGTATCAATAAAAAGCACCCGGATATGATTTCAATAACTATATAAAAATTCAAGTACCCGAATTTATAATCCAAACAAATTTATCTTAAAATAATATGGTCGGGTGGTGGGCGAGAAATACCCATCTTGTTTTTACCCCCACTAAAATCCGATGTGTCTTTTTTCTTTCTTTCATCATACTTCCTGTTCTTGAATAACTTACACTTTCTATGGGTGTCTCGCTTGAATCACAAATTGCTATGATGAATACACTTAAATAATATAACATATTTTAA